GAATTAGTAATATAAAAAGACACTTTTAGAGAGATTATGCCGGGAGTGGGTTTTTATTAGCCTGATTGGATTATAGAACTTCAAAGTCTTGGGAAATAGATCTAACAACCCATCTTTCTACCCGAACAACGAGCAGTTTCATATTGGCGAATAACGAACAACGAGCTGGTTTGTTGTTCGTTATTCACCAGATATGGAATTAGTAATATAATAATGGAACTGTTGTATGGAATACGCCGGGAGTGGGGTTTTATGAGCCTAATTGGATTATAAAACATTCAAAGTCTTGGGAAATAGATTCTCACAACCCCTTTTTCTACCCGAACAACGAACTGTTTCATATTGGCGAATAACGAACAACGAGCCAGTTTGTTAGAATATTTATTCCCAAGACTTTGAAGATTTATGAACCAGATATGGAATTAGTAATATAATAATGGAACTTTTGTATGGAATACGCCGGGAGTGGGTTTTTATGAGACTAATTGGATTATAAAACTTCAAAGTCTTGGGAAATAGATTCTAACAACCCCTCTTTCTACCCGAACAACGAGCTGTTTGATATTGGCGAATAACGAACAACGAGCCAGTTTGTTGTTCGGTATTCGCGAATACCGAACAACGAGCTGGTTTGTTGTTCGGTATTCGCAAATAAAGAACAACGAGCTGGTTTGTTGTTCGTTATTCACTAGATATGGAATTAGTAATATAATAAAGACACTTTTAGAGAGATTATGCCGAGAGTGGGTTTTTATTAGCCTAATTGGTTCATAATGTTGTTCATTATTCACCAGATATAGAATTAGTAATATAATAAAGACACTTTTAGAGAGATTATGCTGGGAGTGGATTTTTATTAGCCTAATTTGATTATAGAACTTCAAAGTCTTGGGAAATAGTAATATAATAAAGGCACTTGTTCGTTGTTCGTTATTCGCCAATATGAAACAGCTCGTTGTTCGGGTAGAAAGAGGGGTTGTTAGAATCTATTTCCCAAAACTTTGAAGTTTTATAATCCAATTAGTCTCAAAAAAACCCACTCCCGGCGTATTCCATACAAAAGTTCCATTATTATATTACTAATTCCATATCTGGTGAATAATGAACAACAAACCAGCTCGTTGTTCGTTATTCGCCAATATGAAACTGCTCGTTGTTCGGGTAGAAAGATGGGTTGTTAGATCTATTTCCTAAGACTTTGAAGTTCTATATTCCAATTAGGCTAATAAAACCCCACTTTTAGAGAGATTATGCCGGGAGTGGGTTTTTATTAGCCTAATTGGATTATAGAACTTCAAAGTCTTGGAAATAGTAATATAATAAAGACACTTTTAGAGAGAATACGCCGGGAGTGGGTTTTTATTAGCCTAATTGGTTCATAAATCTTCAAAGTCTTGGGAATAAATATTCTAACAAACTGGCTCGTTGTTCATTATTCGCCAATATGAAACAGCTCGTTGTTCGGGTAGAAAGAGGGGTTGTGAGAATCTATTTCCCAAGACTTTGAATGTTTTATAATCCAATTAGGCTCATAAAAACCCACTCCCGGCGTATTCCATACAAAAGTTCCATTATTATATTACTAATTCCATATCTGGTGAATAACGAACAACAAACCAGCTCGTTGTTCGTTATTCGCGAATACCGAACAACTAACTGGCTCGTTGTTCGTTATTCGCCAATATCAAACAGCTCGTTGTTCGGGTAGAAAGAGGGGTTGTTAGAATCCAGTCCCCAAGACTTTGAAGTTTTATAATCCAATTAGTCTAAAAAAAAACACTCCCGGCGTATTCCATATAAAAGTTCCATTATTATATTACTAATTCCATATCTGGTGAATAACGAACAACAAACCAGCTCGTTGTTCGTTATTCGCCAATATGAAACAGCTCGTTGTTTGTGTAGAAAGATGGGTTGTTAGAATCTATTTCCCAAGACTTTGAAGTTTTATAATCCAATTAGTCTCATAAAAACCCACTCCCGGCGTATTCCATACAAAAGTTCCATTATTAATAACGAACGAACGAACAACGAACAACGAGTTGGTTTGTTGTTCGGTATTCGCGAATAACGAACAAAAAACTGGCTCGTTGTTCGTTATTCGCGAATACCGAACAACGAACAACAAGCTAACTTCACGCCGCCGATAGACGTTATTACAGGCACAGAACATGGAGTTTAGATCTAAAAGAAGCTAAACCTCTTATACGATATTATCCGTAATCTTCAACATTAAAATCACGAAAATATGGGTTCCTAATATACAATATTTAAGACACAGTGTACATTTTAAAATCAGTGAGCTATGTTGTTTTCTCTATGATTCCAAGCGCCGTATGTAATGATGCGCCTTGTTAAATGGCTAGATCTATTTCTTAAGACCAACTCAAGATTTCGCCAAAGTCGTTGAGGTGTAAATAAGGTTAGGTCACGTAGGTTAGGTCCAGGGTTTGGGTTAGAATTGGTGTTAGCTCTGTTTACATTTCGAGACCTTTGATGAAACTTGAAGTTGGCCTTATGAAATAGAGCTAACCTAGCGTGCGATGGCCATTCACGCTAGGTTACTCGTGTATTTCGCTGAACACAGACGATAACAAACTACAATAAAACGGTTTAAAACTTTGAACGTAAATCAGTTTATATACATTCAAATTAACTTAATATGTACCTTTTGACTGATTTTCTTCCATTTTTAAGTTCCAAGGAATAGCGGTTTCGAGGCTTTAAATACTGAGGACCGGAATAAACGAAACGAACTTAATCTTATATTAAATCTGATGCAACTGCATAACAAGGTCAAAATATGAACGAATAATGAAAACATCCGTTGGAGAAGTCTTAAGTGAATTTTGTTCTCCCTTCCCTTCATTTTGGATTCAAGCATTCGGCAAGTGGTCATTTTGGTCTTGAACACGTGAGCTTTGGTTACATTCCTGGTCTGATGTATCAATAGCCAAGTTGAATCAAGGACATTGTGGTCATATTAATCTGAAATGCATTTCAGTTTGTGCTTTTCAATATTCGATAGGATTGGCTCCAAGTGTATCTTTGTCTTTATTTTTCGTATTCTATTCGAGTGTTAAGGGCTGATATTTATAAGAAGGAAACATGCGTGTCTCCGGTGTTTTAATTTAAATAAACTATCATAAACGTTTCAAGGAAATGAAATTACTAAGGGTGTTCCTTTCAATGATATAAAACCCAAAAAATCTACATTTTCACAAAATTAGATAAAAATCGAGGTGACCAATTCGCTTCAAGATATTAGTCAGATAATTGTTACTTATTGGGATCATGTAAAATATTAAAATTTAGACTTCATGGAAAGTTGAAAAGAGAGAAATTCAATGTAAAAAGTATTTACCAGCCCCGGTTTATGTGCACTTTCTCCATTGACTTCAGTGTTAATTTAATGCCATTAACATTCCTATGATTGTAACTTTCATAACCATATTACAATTATCCAACAAAAGTCTTGAAGGGGGTTTGTTAAAGCCCCGGTACCCACCAAAGTAAATTCTTCTGTTTTTCGAATTTGTAAATGCGTTAGTGATCTGTATCCACATCTTATTTTATAGTTATCTCCCTTTTGTCATTCAATTCAGCACAAACTTGGTTACAAAACAATGCTCGTTTCTTTTTTTTCAATTGTGGCATTAATTATATTGCGTTGAAGGGTGGAAATATTAAAATAGTGTTTAGATAATAATCGGAATTCAAATTGTCATTTGAAGGACAGTTAATACAATGCAAAGTACAATAATTGTGAAATTTGAATCTCTAAATGAAATATCCGTCCAAAATGGTCCAATTTCAATCTATTGACAGGTTTCATGTTAATCAGATTGAATTCGGGCCGGCTGATATCAACCGTTGATGGGGTTTTTCCGTTCTTAATTAAATATTTTAATATTTAGAAATAATATATTTGTGTACATAAAATTAGATATTATCCGAAAATGCCCCCAAACAAACAATCAGCGGCTGAAACTTTTTAGGGGAGTAATTGTTTAAACGATTATCAAGAATGTGGTTCCCCAATGTTTCCATTTGACTAATATTGATAAAGGTTGTATCGCCGACCTTAGCGATTTGTGTGTTGCTGCTCATTTCAAAACAAAGAAAGAAATGTACTTTAAACAGGTTTTGCCAGAAAAGGTACATATAAAAGTACATTGCAGTTAAATGTTTAAGTATGTATTCCGGTCAATCTGGTATATGCCATAGCAATCCCTATAGTGGTTACCGACCTGTCTCGAAACAAATATATCACATGCAAGGAGTTGTCTAACATAAAGTACAAGATAGATCTTAGGATTTCCATGACACAGAAGGAGACATCATCATGAATATTTTGATATACTCATTTACTCATTTTAAACTTCTGTGGCTCAGGGGGTATGGCATCGGCCCAAAACACGGAGATCCTGAGTTCCATCCCGGTAATGGCTGAATAATTTCATCGGGGATCTTCCAACCCCGTTTCCCTAGGTCTGTGGTACAGGATGGGGTGTAACTGTAACGTCCTACTTTTTTGCTCAAAGCTGTCTAATGAAGTAGGATATACACTTTGCAGTGAACTATAAACCGGAATTTGGCCCTGACAGCGGCGTTACGGCCTACTCTGATTTTGAATACCCACTGTCAGAGGAACTTTAACGTGTCTCCGATAGCCTACACGGGAACTCTGTTTTTGTCACATCCAAACGACTAGACGTTTTTACCTGAAAGAAAATCCGCCCAGTACCTCTCCGAGGAACGTTCCCGACCAACATCGGAATCGAACCCGGAACTAACAGGTCAGTGAACATGAACTACAGTCACCGAACCATTTGGTATTTTAGATTTGCAATATACAATGCTAGATGCAAAATTGTTACGCGAGATACAAAGTGGTATCACATATTCCCGAAGCAGTGATTATACACAACACTTGCAGCAACTTATAATAATAATCACTAGAACGACTAATACAAGTATAAAATAGTATTCATATAAACTCAGTTCTATAAATTACACTATTTAATTAATTTTATGATAAATAGTAATACAAATAAACAGTTATGATAAATACTTAATATAATTAAATAACTAAACATAATTGTAATTTAAGTCATGGCTTATTTCACATCTAAAATCGTAGGCTTTGTTCAGAGGGGTTTTTAATCATCGAAAAAATATTTTCATATGAAGAAAGATAAAACACATATTTAGCACCGAAGTTCGTCATTTATTTTGAATCTGAATTAATCATTACAATGTTTATCCTACGTATCAGTGTCTTGATCATTTCTATACGACATATTTACAGGAGAAAGTACGAAAATAACATGATGAGTCAAACATATCACATAGATTAGGCTGTTTGTTGTGTTGAACTTTCAGCCTCTTTACCGTCTTTTCCTTCTTTTCCTTCATCATCCTTTTCTTTGGAACCGTGTTTTAGTGTACGCGTGAAAGCCAGATAGTCGAATTTACCGTCTGCTATAGGAGAACAGTTAAATAATTCATCTACCATTTCTTCTGTCCATCTATCCCCCATCGTCATCATACATTCCTTGAGGTAGTCCTCTCCGATCACTCCCATATTTTTATCATCGAAGCAAGCGAAAGCGTTTTTTATTACGTCCTCAGGGTCCGTTCCGTTTAACTTTTCACCAAATAGGGTCAGAAACATAGTAAAGTTAATTGGTCCCGGCGCTTGATTAATCATTTCGTCCATAGCATCCTCTGTAGGATCTTTTCCTAGTGACGTATACATCTCTATAAGATCGTCTTTGTCTATGTAGCCATCACGATTCTGATCTATCATATTAAACGCTTCTTTAAATTCCTGGATTTGAGCTTGATTGAACATCGCGAACACATTAGATGTGTACCGCTGTGTGCGGGTTCGCTTGTTCTTCTTGGATTTTAAGCTCGACATTTTGATAAATACAGTCTACAACAATCCTTTAGAAATAATGGAATATTAGACACAAAACACAGAAATTACTAAATTTACCAGCTCACTGGTCAATGGAGCTTTCTTCTACCCTATTTCTGACTATAGCAGCACGCGCCAACCAAACACCGCTGCGTCATAATCATCCAGACGCTCTTCGCGGATGCACTGCGTAGATAACTTCACTGGATAATTATATCTATAAGTTCCAGATGTACCGAAATCTGATATGTCTACACTCCTGCATGAAGGAAACTATGGTAACATCGTGATAAACTGTTCACGCGGAAGTCATGATTCAAATAGGTTACTTTTATTTGCTTACATTATATCATAAGATATGGAAATATGAATACATGACTTTGTATGAATTTTTTAGATAACGGATTACAACTCTCCAAAACAGTTAATCAATATGTAGTGGGACGGTGTGATACACGTGGATTCATCTGCACAATAATAATATGTTTGCTATATAATAATACTTTGACAAAAACGTTTTACAACTACTATGAACAGCAAAGTATTTTTGTGTATACAGTCGGAGGACGTTGGAAATGACCCCCCCCCCCCCACACACACACACACACACACACACACACAAAAAAACCCTAAAATTTTAATTTCTATCAAAGCACTCCTTGCGCCAGAAGGCCATTTTAATCATTTTTTATATATATTTACATACAAAGAAGTTATAAGTAGACTTAAAAATGTTCTTAAGATAGTATTTTGGACGATTTTTTGGACGAGGCGTAGATGTTCGAAAATATAAATTAATTGTTGTTCAGATGCTAACTAGCGACCCAAGAAGAAGAATATGACAGAAAGAAATCAACATAACTTTATGTGAACTTCCTATGACTATAACTTTCGCTAGAATTGATTGATTTGAATCAGTTTTGGATGAAGATGATTTTATTGTGTATGATCTGGAAGTCTATTTTTGCTGTTTACTCGGGATCACGTGCCTATATAAACTATTTTGACAAATAACAATATAGTAAATGAATTTCCTGGTGAATTTATATATAGTGTTAATGACTAACCAATTTATATTAACAAATTAAACTGAATAATCATTCAAAGCCACATGGCAGAGAGGAAGCGGGGACGAGTGGTTTAACACAAGCGCTTTAGATCATAAGATCTGCCATCTTATCTTTTCATTATCTATTTGTTTAACTATTATAACGAGAACTGTCCGCTCTTTATCTAATCTTACCTAATACGGCTTTAAATTAGTGGAGGGGGCGAATGGTTAGCGCGTGCGCGTTGTATCATAAGGTCTGTCATTGCGTCAACTGGTGTGAGTTCGATTTCCCGGTTGTACGTGACAAGGAGTAGGGTCGCCTATCCAACCTCGTGGGTTTTCCCCAGGTCCTCTGGTTTCCTCTCACTGCTAAAGACCTCTGCGTGCAAGTGAATTATTGAAATAAAATTAAACCGTGTGTCAGTCCAGAAATGACCTAGTTTGTGTCGAGTGGACGTTAAACCCCCATTTCTCTCAGCACGGAGACAAAATGTGTACAGCGGACACTGCTACTCATAAGGCACTTCTGCGTCTTTAAAGTAGCTAAGTCTCTAACTCAATATCATCCAAAGTGTTCGACATTGAAAACACGAATTATTTGTCAATTTAAATCAACATTGATGTTGTGATCTTACCGGGAAAAGATGGGCTTCTGATATCCAATATTTAAGACAAAATAAACATTTTACCATTGGTACACTAATCGTGTACCATAATGCGTTTCAGTGCCATTTGTAACAAGGGACTCGAAGAACGAGGCTGGACATATTCCACAAGTCGTGTCAAACGGTGACGCCATATTCTTATCTTGAGAGCATGCGCAATAAATACTATCGGTGTAAACTGGAATAACCAGACTCTAGAAATTGCCATTCGATTGAGACATCTAGCGTATTTCGCCGAAAGTAACTGATTTGAACTTAGAGTAAAAACGGAAATGATTGAATGTAAATCAGTTATATACATTCATATTACATTATTATATGCGTTGTGACTCATTTGTGTCAATTTCTAGGTCCAAAATATTAGCGATTTAGGTTCCGTGCACAGCATGCCAAGAACTCACCGAAACAGATCGTTTCATTGGCTAATTCCTCACATCAAGCAGAAAGTATGTTTTATAACAACTCTTCCAGATCCTAGTGTAGTAAAGACAAGTAAAACGAAATTTTGAACTATAAAAAACGAAACGAAATAGGATCTGTGTTTTAATCAGATTTCCCCAGGAAACACTTGTCTGCGATGTCATCCTAGGTGGAAGCGGACGTTAAGCGATGAAGACTATATCTCGGTCATGGCCTGGTATCATTCCATTCCAACTTTATTCATTTTAAATGATAATCTGCGGTAACTTGTTGTCGAGATAATATAATCACCTGAAAGGTTTTTAGACCAAGGCGACTAAAACATAACGTCACGTGATCGCAATTCATCCGCTAGTAAACACTCGGGGATTACTATTTTTATTTGTCTACAAATGTGGTATCATTTTTCTTACGCAAAGTATTCCTGTCAACGTCAACCCTTTTCTTTATAATGGGACGAAAAACCGAGGTCACGTGTTCACATTGGAAAGAACCCTTGAAAGTTGGAATTCGATATACGAGTAGGCCGTAGTGCTACTGTCAGGGGAAATATTTTCTCTCTGCATGGTGTATGCCCCTCTTCATTAGCAGTCAGTGCAGGACAGTAAGACGTTGAACCGTGTTTCATTTCATTTTCACACAAAGTTATGGTTTTGGATTGGTCTCTGAACATTAACAAAGAACGGGTGCAACCTTTCAAAAAATATTGCATAAACGTTTAGAGTTTTACCTATATTTATCTTTTCATTGATAAACACGAGAGTACCATCGTCGAAAAGCTGAATGGTAATAAACCAGTAAATGTGATTGTTATTCCATAAATAGTTTAGCAGAGACTGAATGGTTAACGCGTGTTACTGTTCGATTACTAAATGTCACCCAAAGGAGATCTTTTCAATACTCTTTCACAGGTAGTAGGAATGTAATATTGAATGGTACTGATAGTGCAGCCAATAGTGGCAAGGGCCTTTAATCCCTTTGTTCTATGTCATCTGCCTATGAACACTCCTTGAATAAATAATAGTTTTATCTTTAAATCAAGTTTCATTGTATTGCCTATTTTAGTGTATTGATTGTGACATTTATATGTGATATTAGAGAATTGAAATGAAGTTTAACGTCTTATTCGTCTGCATCAACCGTGTTAATGATGATGAGTGATTATATGCAAGCTGTATACTCTAGATAACTGACAGAACTCGGCTTACCTGATCAAATTACGCTTCTATTGTGATTGACATAATGTATATAGGTGTTTAGTTTACCCTCCTTTTGAATTTATAATGGCGTATGGTAGTTGGCCCTACTCATCCATGACAGTACATGTATATAGATAGGTGTAACTGTGTAACACAACTAAAACTATGTTCAGGATTTAGGATACATGGTTTCAAGTTCTGAACTTTAGTCCTTTAAACAGGTATGTGTTTATATTTTGTGTAATAATAATTTCAAATTTTATGACATTTTACATCGGTCTCGTCGGTTTGGTCGTTATAAACATTGGACATGCGTATATAGAGTAGCAATGGGAATAACATGTACCCTCGTTAACTGCAACCGTGACAATTAAAATTACGAAAAGCCATTGTAGAATTGGCGACATAACTGTATGTTTCGCTACACGTTCTGATTTCATACACTCATCTTACTTGTACAGAATGGAATGGGGGTTGGCGTCTTATCGACACTTAACAAGGCCATTGTTAATTATTATGGTTATGTGTATTGCGAGAGGACGAAGGATCTAACTCAGACAGCGGCTTGCCGCCCTTTTTACTCTTCTTCGAATCCCGACAACTGGATATTTTGCGTGTGCTAGCTATTTCAAGATTTTTTTTTTATGATTTTTACGTTTCACCCGAGTAACTTGACAAACTTTCAGCTCTGTCGGCACCACTCCTGAAAAGCGGTCTTAGAAAATCACAACCCAGTGTCATAATTTGGCTCTTTTCTTTTTTTGTACTTACGGAAAAAGCAGCCTTAGCCATGACTTTTCTGAAATTAAATGATTGGCTTGCATAATATACTATAAAGCACAGCACTCAGTAGACGAAAGTGGACCTTATCAGAAAAAGATTATACTCATAAACAGCAGGCCCCCTAGCAGTTCCATTGAGGTTTTCTTATACCAAAACCGCAACAACTGCTATGGAAATAGATAGTAAGTGCTGAGATCATTTGCCGAGCGGGTTATTGGTGAATATTATTAGGCGTGCGGCCGTCTGCATGTGTAGCCTGAACTTCCACGCTGAATATTACATAGTAAGGCAAATTGTTGGCATCCGAACTTGTATTCAATGTTTCCATTCATGCGGAGTGAAAGATCACCTGATTAGTGGTGTCGACAGCTGATTGGCTGTAAATCACTAGAGGTAGAATTTTATGCAGTATAAACTACATGTTCAATATGTTATACGTACATTGTATTTTCGTGAGTCCGCAGTTTAGTAAATAATCTACCTTTTTAACCTGACCAAGACTCGTCTTACCCAATAGGGGCTATTTATATAATAATGTACATTGTAGAGCGTCAAATCCACCCAAAAGCATGATCAAAGCGCAATATATACACAGTAAACAGAAAGTCTAATTCTCATAGCATTCTCAAAATAAGCGATCCTTCAGCTGTGATTTGAAAGTAGTCAAAGTTTCACTGTTTCGGATTTTCAGTGGTAATTTATTCAACAACTTAGGAGCAACTACACTCAAACTTCTGTCACCAAAATGTCTCAGTTTTGACTTTGGAACGACAAAAGTGTTCTGGTTATAAGATCTCAAGGACCGATTTGGTTGTGTTAGTTCTGATAAATAGCTTGGGGCAAGATTTCGTAGGCAATGGTATGTGAGGCACAGGACCTTAAAGTTGATGCGAGCTAGAATTGGGAGCCAATGTCAGGATATTAAAATAAGTGTTATGTGAGATGATGTTTTGGTTCGGGATATGATTTTGGCTGCTGTAGAGACTTGTTTGATTAATCCCAGACGACAAACTGTTACAATAGTCTATTCCGGACAGAACTAGTGACTGTACTAGAGATTTGGCGGCGTCGAATATCACTGATGCGCCGCAAATGAAAGTAACAGGACTGACGCAGCTTATTAACCACTGTTTCAAACGACAAACAAAGATCTAGATAAACATCCAAGATCCTTCACAGCACTTGCTAGCTGAATAACCGAGTCTCCATTTGTTTTTGAGATATGGTCTGAAGGCATCTATTTGTTCCAAATAACATTTCACCACTGTCAACTGAACGTTTCAGATCGTTTACAACTCTCAGCAAGGTATATTCTGTACTATGTCCAGAACGATAAGCTGATTGAAATGTATCCCAAAGATTGTTATTTGATTATATGTGTACGTATACAATATTGTCCATACAATAACGGGCTTTAGTATTCCTTAAGGTTTTGCTGGCATTGTTTCGATTTGATTTATAGATGTTGAGGTGAACCTCCAGGTTGGACTTACACCACTTTCGTTCTGCCACTTTGCTTGTAACTGAACTTTCCTAACGTCCTCATTATACCATTTTGAACCTGGTTTTATAATGATCGCTTTCTCGACTGCTGGAGCATGTTTACCGAAAAGCTCAACCAGTGTCTTGTGGTAAAGATCACATATATCACGTTCTGTAACAAAATAATATTTAATGCGACTCCACAATTTCTAAGGGGCGTAGCTGGAATTTGTGCCGCCCAGGATGGTTTTGACGTCGCGTGTTCCTTTACCGTCACGACAAGAGAGAGAGAAATGCAGTCTAACGCCCACTTGACATTTCGGGACGAACACATGATTTATTACAATAACTCGCTTGTGAATAGGGGTCTTTAGCTGTGGGAGGAAATCGAAGGACCCGGAGAAAACCCACGAAACCATGCCACTCAATGACAGGCCATGTGATCTAACGCACGTGTTAAACTAATCCCCCCCCCCAGCCATCCCCATAATCCCTATAAACAGGAAACTTTTAATGCAGTACAAGTTGAAAGCCCCACGCCCCCACCCACACATTTAAAAGGTGAATATATGCAGGATTTAGTTTAAATCACCGATGGACGCAACATCAGTTACCATCCAAAGTTTATACGTTAATTTATATCATTAAGAAATAGAAATGAAATGGGGGTTAAACGGCACCAAATCCAAATGTCAAAATTTTAATTGTCTGCGTGGGTCTATAGTTATTGGGTCTTCTTTCACCTTTCCATCAAATGCACCACTGGCTTCCAATTGCCTATAGGTCCGCAAAGCTGTGGTATTGCACGATAAAGTATCGCACCTACTCTTACTTTGCTAATGTGTGTCATGGGAGATATTTTGCGAAATGTGTCTTTAATTTGACATGGTGTTATACTACGTACTCTTGGGTTGCTAGTCAAATAAACCCAAGATCTTCCCCATATAACAGCCCAAGAGGCTTTATTAACTAAATTATTTGATCGATTTTATGATAAAAAAAAATTATAATCAAAGGTCATCTGGGAATGGCACAAACCATGTAATGGCAACGATATTTGACGGCGAAGAACATCTGGTACAGTTGAGACACAACTTGCTTTCGTCATCGATTGATCCAAGAATAAATGCGTTATTTCATACTTTATTTTTGCAGCTATATGTGTAGTGGGTGCATGCTCACCTTCTTATCTTCGAAACACAAGTTCCAAGAGATCTTTTACGTCCATTAGCACTTCTTGAGAAAATCACGACGCGATTTTGAGTCCAGTGTCCGAGCCTCATAACCCCCTGAATGCGTTGAGGTGATAAAATCCATGACGATCAGATAAATAGGGTGTCCATCTTAATTGCCACAAGTTTAAGATAAATGTAAGTCCTGTCAAATGACCCCATTAGTGGCTTTCTCGTGTTTTCTAACATCCATTATACTATTTTATGGCAGGAAACGTTCATGGTTCTTTTACGTTCCGCAAGTGAATCTTTAAAGCTCCCCTGGGTAAAGTCCGCAATTAGCTCTATATTTAGACTTTCGTTCAGTATTAATAATATCTATAGGGAATCCCGTGCCACCTATAGATCATAATGGCACGCATCATAAATGACATAGTGAATGGTCGTATAGTATCAGTGATAGCTGTGTAGTTTGCATTGTGTTGTTGATGTTACTGTGCGTGTGTGCAGCAATAAAGTGGCAGGCATTAGCACCTTACCCAGGCGAAGATCCTTGGTGATATTGGAGCACGCAGATGAGAAATAAAGACGGATAAATGCAACAAATCAGCCTACTTTATCGATAATATATCGAGACATTGTAGTGTGTGTCTGTTTTTCTGTGTAGAAACTATCTTGCGTTCAGTAATAGTATCGATCGCTTTAGTGCCACCATTCTAAGAGCCAAGTTAGTGATGACAGTATTACTTTATTGGTCAAAGGCAGCAATGGAAACTAGTACTGCAAAATACTGTCGCTTGTATTAAAAGACCTATTAAACATAAATGGTACTGGTACTGGTGTTTTCTAAACAATGTGATTCTGCTTGTTGTAGTTTGAGGTGGAAATGAAGAGGAGAGAAAAGGAGTTGGATTGCGATCTGTCGACAATACTACAGCCTGTTGATTGTAAGTATTAATTTATAACTCGTGTATCTTCAGTTATATTGATGTATATACACAAACCGTTTCATAAAATATGTACACTAGTTGTAGTATGTTTAGTATATATAAAAACTATATTCATTTGATGATTTTGATTCCTCGGTTGAACATGACAAGGTGTAGGGTCGCCTACCCAACCTCGCTGGTTTTCTCTGGGTCCTTCCGTTTTTCCCCACTAAAAAAGACCCCTACACGCAAGCGAATTATTGAAATAAAATAGAACCATATGTTTGTCCCGAAATGACCAAGTTTGTGTCGAGTGGACGATACCCCCTCCCCCCCTCCCCCCTCTCTCTCTCTATCTATCTCTCTCTCTTTCTCTCTCTCTCTCTCTCTCTAAGGGAGCATATTTACTTTTACATTTTAAAGGTTACGGAATTTACATGCAGGATGGAGTTCCTGTACACAACAATACTACCTGTGTTTTTTTAAGTAATGGAATAGGGTTTGACATTCTGTCAGTACTGGTCATATTGAGACTAACATGTTCATTTTCAACTCAATGGGTCAAGGGTGCAATGTTAGTGTGTGGGGATGGGGGTGGGGGGAGCTTGGACAGCGGCCTTACTCATCTTCGAAAGCCAACCGCCAAGAGTTCTTTAACGTGTTTGCTAATGTTTGCACGAGTGGACCTCGGTTTTTAAATAGGTCAAGGGTGCAATGTTAGTGTGCGGGGATGGGGGCGGCTTGGACAGCGGCGTTTGTACTTACTCATCTTCGGTTTTTCGTCACCCGAACGACTAGTCATATTTTACCAGTCCGGCTTGAACGTAAGCGCACACATAGAACTGTCTACTTTGAGATTTGATCTATACACTGAATGACTGCCATATTGAAAAAATCAGTATACTATTTTGTAATGCGGGTCTAATCCGTTTACATCTTTCATACACACAAAAGCTAAATAAATATTTTCAGTTTTATTAATTCGGAGCATAGAAAATACCTCTAAATATCTTCAAAGCGTAGTTAGTATTTTCGATTAAAATTGTCGATTTAAAATATTGCCCAACCAGCTTTGTGTTTGTTTTTAAATGGAAGCTTAGAAAATACCTCTCAAACTATTCGAAGCATAGTTAGTGTTTTTGATTAAAATCGTCGATTTAGGATTCAAAATGTCGGTAAACCAGCTTCGTATAAGTTCTCAAACGGAGCTAATTGTAGGCATACAGCACAACTTACGTATGAATAAAAGCAACGCTAAACTATAAACATGCAGCTATGTGAATCCTGCAATATACTGTGCCTATTGAGTAATCTACTCTGCTTATTGAGCAATGTAGCAATGCAAGGGGAATTGATTTTTAAGAAATAATTTAATTGCGTAGATAAACATACCCATGATCTTTTCGCAAAGCACTTTACTTTTCGCGCCTTTGTTGACAACTGCTGCAAACGAGCAGTTTATTATTGTCTCGAATAATACTGATCTACCCTGACCAGTCAACTAGATATCACATATAACCGCAATCCTATTGGTCGCATTATTCCCAATAACAGAACTGGGTAATTTCACTAGAGTATTCCTGCGAATATATGTAAGTAGCCTAGAGACACTACGAGTCTCCAAGGTAATCAAAATGGACGATTGAGTTCGGTGTTATGGAACGTCGCTTATTGACCCCGTTTAAATTAGACACAGAATATACTCCAATTATGTTTTATGATGGGATATTCGACTTAACACCCGCGTTAGCTAAAAGAAATTAATCTAATACATCTATAAATTTATTTCGTTGGTTGTATAATTATATTTTACGAAATAGAAACCATTTCCCAGATAAGGCTAATGAAAAAAAAATATGCGAGGGAGTATATTATATTAAATCTCATATTATAGTTTTGTTTGTAATACTGGTATACTCAATATTCGGTCTTGCAAGTAGTCGGTCCTACAGAAAATGCATGAAATCTCAGGAACAACAAACTAGACTTGAGTATTGTATGTGCCAATATCATAACTTGATTTTAAATTATATACTCGCTAGCCTGGAGGTCGGGTGTTCGATCCCTGCATTGGCCGAGAAAGTTCATCCAGATTTTCCGGCGTGGTTTCCCCTTGTCAGTGATGCAGGACGGAGGGCCTGACAAGGACAGTTGTCTAGTCCTTCTGATGAGACGAAAAACCGAGGTCCCGTGTATATTTTGGAATGCACTAAAAGATCCTCTGGCAGTTGGAATTCGATATAAGAGCAGCCGATTGTGCCGCTGCCCGGGCAAAATTTCCCTCATAGCACACTGTATGGCGCATGCCCGTCTTCATTAGCCCAGTATAGGAGTATAACAGTAGAACGTTAAACCCTATTTCATTTCATTTCATTTAAATTATATAAAAATAGTTCGGTAGGATCGTTTTAGACGCGCATGCATGCATATATATTGTTAATTCGCGAATAAACATAATATGATTTAACTTAAATTAGTGTCGTTAATCTGTTAATTCAGAATATGATAATCGTATTACTAGAAACATTAATCCAGTCAGTTCGTTACATAGAAAGGTGTGTGTTGGATTAATACTATGGATCATGGGTACGCCTAATCCCGTCTCTTAGTAACATGTTACTAACGACGGGCTACTAATACCATACCATGATGCAAGTTAACTGATATTAAATTCATTCGGCAACTTAACTTGGACATTAGACGGAGACCTCAAACAATCTCGCAGGTGTCGTGGTTGGAATCAAGATGAAGAGTTTGGTGGCTTGTTTTATATGCCTTGCTTACGTTTCTGTGGGAGAAACAGCATGTACTTTCCCAGCTGATTTACTTGGAAATTGGGACAGTAGTTCGTTGGAGCAACTTGATTTTACCGACTCCTCAACGGTCGTTATACCGAATATTCATACCTATGGCGCTGTAACCTTTAATTGTGAAAGTATGTCCGGCTCAAAATATATACTAAGATCAGCGTCAACTGTTGCGACATTATTTGGGACAGCGATGGAAGCTGCTACTTGTCTGCAATTAACTCAAGTGACATCTTCAGCGAAGTATACGTATATCCATGCCACAACTCCATTAGCGCAAGCTGGAAACGAAAGAATTAAACTAAATCCTGTATCCACGAGTTTGACCCAAGCGGCAGTATGTGATGAAAGTACACCTTATCCAGATGGCACCTACGATATGCTAATAAAGAATGGCAGTCTTTCCCTTGCGACGATCACCTGTCCAGTTGTATTTTTTTCAACATTTTCATATACTGTGGATGGAAATTGTTTTGCAAACTCTTCATTAGATGTATGTTCAGATAAAACCAAGCTTAAATTCGATTACAGTATTTGTTCTAGTGTAGCAGCCTATTCTAGTGGGGGTGATTTGAGTTGTGTTTACAGTAACGTTTATAATAGTATGACTTATGTGACTCTGTATAACAATGATGCTACTACTGATGAATCAAGTACCTATCGATATACATGTATGGTTGTAGCAGCCAATGGGAGTCTAGTTGACGCCACACAAAATCCCCAGCACTGTTCGTCAACACAGACCTCAAATAATATAGCGAGTCCTGGATTAGCGTTACTGTTAACCCCAGTGAGTAATTGTGCTGTTGATACCACTCCAAACCCAACAACTGCTGTTCCTGGTAATGAGGCACAAGTTGGTACCGCATCCGTAGCCGCAGGAACCACCATTGCAATTATAGCTGTCGTTGCTCTTATTTTCCTCCTGCTTTTCTTCTTGGTATTCAGAAAGGGTGCGCCATATCCAATGAAGGGCGGTCAATGCGCATGCTGTTCAAAATGTGGTCCTCTTCTGTACTGTTTATCATGCCAGTGCTGTTGTGGGAAAGTCGGTCGAGGTGCCAAGATTGACCCAGAAGGGCATGTTTTATCCCCAGAAGAGATTGGCGTTGTTACTGGCAGTGAGGAGTCTCAGGTCACAGGCAATGGGCGAGAGGTGGATGTTATTCCTGCTCCAACACCACCAGGCGCAAAGGATATTGAAGAATTACAAGAAATATCTACATCTAGTGATGATGGAAAACCTAGACGACTCCCACCTATTGAAACAACCGTATCTGAGACTATTGACGAGAATGAAACACAAAACCAACAAACTACTGAACAATCTGTGGATGCTAATGACTCCCCGGCAACAGTGACTCAAGACGAACCGGCTCAAGTGGAAACGACAACAGATAAAACTGAAAATCAATAATTCTTTTAAATGGCTCGAAACTTACATTTTTTAAATGAACATTATCTGAAGAAAAGAATAATATACTTCGTTGCGTTTCACCATTGAATAAGTTTACTGTCATAATATTTTGAACTGTTTCAGGTATCATACAGTCCAATTACTTGATACGGTATAATTAGTTGAATTTAATCGATTTTGATAGTGAATGCATGCACTAAATTACCATCAGTCCATTAAGACAATTGGATTAGCTAAAGATCAAAAGAAAATCTAACCAATGAACGTTATGCTTAAACTAACTTATTAAAATTTATTTATAGATTATTTTTGTATATACGTTATATGTAATATTATCATCTTGCTAGTTTGTTTATAATTAAAAGTCATTGTTGTATATTCATTGTAGAAAATATATATTTTACCTAATATTACCGTGTGTGATTTTTGGACCAGGAACTAGACACCAAGCGCTACTCATCTTGTTGCTGTTTTTCTTGGAGACAGCATTCTTTGGAAAAAGCCTAAAGCTCCGCCAATTCAAGGAAGACCGACTTGACACTAGGTATACCCCTTGGACAATTGCCCATCGATTAATGTTTGATATGAAGTCGCAAATGTAAGAAGGCTGCGATGAAGTGCTGATCTTATTTTGACAAATGTAATTTAACTTTAAAAAAAAACAAACATCGAATATGACATCCAGCACTGAGTAATATCAAGCAGAAGTTTGCAAGGACATGTTCAGTATTCCGCTCCAATATTTTATTTGTGCAACACACTATAGCTCGAAGAAATATTATGTGTGCTCGATCTAAAATGACCGTAAGTAACCCATTTAGTGCAATTTAATATCTGAGTGGTGTGGGTACCGTTTATATCCGGAATTTCCGCAGAATATTTTTGTATCGCATTATACGGATTCCGAAGATGCAATTCATGTAGATAATCGATAATAATCTTACTAGAGCATTTCTGTAATATAGCTATAAATTTTGAATGTTGTTATTGAAGGCTCTGAGGATTTTGCCATCTGAAAAGTAAATGCGGTATACATGTATATTAAATGTAAACCATCGTGTCTTCAAGGTCGCCTTCTAAACTACAGGCAGCTGTTATTCTGATCGATATACAATACTATCTAATTGAAATAATTGCCTACACTTCCTTCTGAGACAATTGCTTTGAGCGAGACGTACTGTCAGCTCACAAGAATCAAGTTCATGTTAAATGGAGATGTTGCGTGATGGGATGTGTCAATTGAATCTACAACGGTTTGTAAAAAAAATGATGAACATTTGACTTCAGCCTTGACTTCCATTTAGCGCTAAAATAAATAATTCTACAATGAAAACAAAAAAAAAACAACCGACGTATTCATGTTTCAAGATTCTTTATATAGTGCATAAAACATCTATGATATTAGCAGTCTTTAAAGATACATTATCCATTTTTGGATTTAATCACCAATGAGGGTTGAGCAGCAGTTTGGATTCCAATCCAGTGAAAATCCGATACATAAGATGACATCGAGAGTTTATTATGGTTTGGATGAGTTAATTAATGTCTAATCAATAGTTTATATAACATTTCAGGCCTAAAGAAAGACAGATTTAACTCTTATGTTTAACACACTATGAAAGTATTGTTTTATAACGACGTAAAATGTGTGCCCATTGATCAGAAACCAAGATGCAGCAAAGTTATGTATAGACAGCTTCTCAAATTCACTGACTTCAGTGATTTAGGAAATTATTAATCAGAACATAAACAATTCATACCAACCAGCTTTGTATTCCTGTTATATGTATTAAGCTGTATATAATTATCTTCAATAATTAATTAGGGATAAAAAGATTAATACTATCTGTGTAATCAGTTCAGAATACCCATATACAATGCCTATAAATTAAGTTTCCAATAAATCTTAAGACCTTTCGTTTATGTAAATGTACCGTGGTATGGGATAATGAAATTTATACATTGTAAAAGAAAAGCTTATTTTGTAACAATACAAGCGTGTGTTACTTTCAACACAAGACAAACTTGTATTGGGTGTCAACAAATCATTTGTGTCAAATGTAAGAAACTTTTGTTTTTTATCCATACACAAACTTGTGTTGTTTTCATACATAAATTGGTGTTAATGTATTAGAAAAGAACACACGTTTGCGTATATTTGTTTTTACACTAGTTCTTGTGTTGAACTTCAACACAAGAGTTTTTTTCAGTGTTAATAAATCTAGCTTTGTCAATTCCACGCAAAAACCACAAGAAACATAATATAAAGCGTATTATGTAACTGATAAACGAATACTATGAATTGAACAACTATATCATTATTAATTATTTAATCACCGTCTAATATTTTGCGCCACAGGGGCATCATCAGGACATAACATAACAATATTAACATGCACTGCGCAATTTGTTTAGCTTTAACAATTGTTTAATACTCGCATGATGGGGCCCACGTGCAGTTAGAATACTTAAAAATGTACATAGGATGAGGAGTTGTTTGAAATGTCAAGAAGGATGTGCTTGAAATAACTTAGATAGCTTTTTTCTATTAATTGAAAACGGGCGTATGTACATTTAATGCTCATATTTTTACCTATATATAGGGTTTTTTAGAGTCCGATGAAATTAGCCAATAACGTCCAGCAAGAAACGGCAAAAGCGTTTTTGTCAATAGCGCCCAAAGTATTGAAAAAAGTGATCAACAAGGAAATATATGTTATAGATATGCATATTCTGCACATCAAATTTTTAATAAGATGTGTAGAATATGTATATATGATGTAACATGTTTCCTTGTCAGTTACATTTCGCAATTGAAAAAGCAAAAATGCTCTTGCATGTGATTCGTAGGACCGGAATATTGCATAGTTATGTCGATAGTTTATTGCCGAATGATGCCACGAAATGTTTCTTTAAGATTCGATAACTCATATCAATGTTGGCCAAATGAAATAAATCGGATAAAAGTAATTAGTGACATGTTCGGTATTGATCTCAACGATAACATGTAGCTAATATCCTGACGTGCCACAATCAACATAGAAATATTTTCAGTCATCTATTGTTCTCTAATATTCTATGATTGTTGGCAGTCAAATTCCATGATATGGATCCCTATTTATTAGCTATGGTTGTATTGTTCTATTTCTCTGTTAGCTTTTTGATTCCAGTTAATCGTACAATAGTAATTATCTCTGTATACGTCAACAGTGGTTATTATATTATATAGTCTATTCAACAACCAATTTAACTCAACCGATTATTAAAGGGATATCGGTCTTCATTATGCTTACTCAATGCACCAGTGATAGGTGTTGTACACGTGGCAGAATATGTTTACGCCTTCTAGAACACTTACTACCACGGCTGAAAGGCCTTAAGCTATCTTTGACTGGTATCAAGTCATTTGGAATCAAAGAATGTGGTGTTATCAGTGGATACGGAATATTAATCACCCTCATCCTTAGAACAAAGCTCGCTAGCCTGGAGGTCGGGTGTTCGATCCCTGCATTGGCCGAGAAAGTTCATCCAGATTTTCCGGCGTGGTTCCCCCTTGTCAGTAATGCAGGACGGAGGGCCTGACAAGGACAGCTGTCTAGTCGTTCGGATGGGACGAAAAACCGAGGTCCCGTGTATATATTGGAATGCACGTAAAAGATCCCCTGGCAGTTGGAATTCGATATAAGAGTAGGCGATAGTGGCGCTGCCTTGGCAAAATTTCCCTCATAGCACACTGTATGGCGTATACCCGTCTTCATTAGCCCAGTATATGAGCAGAACAGTAGGACGTTAAACCCCATTTCATTTCATTTCAATTCACTGTGTGACTTTTTGATTTTAAACTCAAATACCATAATACATGTAGTTCAGGAACCGAGCAAGGCAACGTCGCTGCCATCTTAGAATTGTGACGTCATATCAATAACAGAAGTTATCCAATCGAAGCCCAATGGTCCGAGGACCAGCCATATCAAGTTCCATATCGATCGTACTTGACATACCGGAGCTTTGGGGGTTTTTTTTATCGAAAAGCGAGGTCCCCCCCCCCCAAGAAGAATAGAAACGAAATAAGTAGTGCTTGTATCCCATTTCCCGAGTCCAATAATTTGCAGTCAAATCTCATTGACCAATGCAGAGAGAAAGGTTATTTACTTTATTCTCTTACAAATAATCTCACCGAGTGTTTTACGTCATCATATTAAGCTGTTCGTATAATGCGTTTATCATCAAGTATGTCTGAACATGTCTGTAACCTTTCGAGGTTGTTGTCATTGTATTACATTTTATGTTTGCTTGACGTGATCATAACTTTATAGGGTTGTACACTTAATTACTAGGTAAGGATATAATGGTGCATCGAAATATCGAAATTTCTCAGAATTGACGGGTTGGTCAAATTAATATAAAACTCCGTTACTGGTATATCCGCTTATATTGTCGTCACCGTCCGACGTTTCGTCCACAATTCTAGTAAAAGCTATTCGGGACTGAGTCAATGCAGCTAGTCATAATGAGGAAACATGTAGTAGCTAGAAGTCATGCATCACGGTCAGTTCTTTATATTGAAACCCCACATGTTCAGTTAGTATCCAGACACGAAACAACTCGAAACAAACATGACCGTAGTTGTCTGTATTAACACACTAAGGTTCAGAGATATTGGGTGTTTAACTTCCAATAATGTAGACCCACCCCACCCCTCGCAAAGCCGTCATGATATATGAGCTTGAGTAAATTTGCTGCTTTCCATGAAACAGTCACATAAAGTATTGTATGTAGTTAACTCGATCTCCTAATTTCAAATCATTTAAACTGTGAGTTGTATTCTCGAATGCTATGCATTTCATATCACCACCCTGGGGCGTTATTCCGTATTTTATTTTAAAAGGTGACCTCAACAGATAAAAGATAAAATACCACGTCATGTAAAATAGATTAATAACGGATGTGACGGCACTAGGTCTCTATTTAAAACCCCTGTTTTGTTAATTGCTGTAATCAACAAGTGGTTTAGATATATATATACAATTTACAAACGCTATTATATACTTGTAAATTTCCCTCGAGGTTCTTTCCTGCTTCCGTTAATAAGGTCGGGTTACTGTCGGTCGATATCATATTGTGGCAATCTTATGTTGATTAATAGGTCAATGGTTTATCACCTATGTTATGTATGCCACTTCCAAGATCACTATGTCGGATAGACATAGAAAATCTACAGATATGCAGCCAATAGTTTTCTAATGAAGTTAGATCTGACCGACTTTGAACGAATTGATGGATAATTTCCCCTTGATTTCTACACATGCCCGAAGCAATTCAATCTGACTTGATTTTTCAGTTGGTTGAGCTTTGATATTGGTCAATACAACTCTTGTGGAACGCTGCAGAATGTCTTCAATGGAATGAAAGGCTAATAAGGGTGACATAGTTGTCTTTGTTCCTAAATGCAGTCGTAAAAGGATAAATCATAATTGTCGAGTGTTGATTAACTGTGTGAAATGACAACATTTGAAATGACAACATTTGAAATACATGTACATAGATATAAAAAATATTGTTGGGATGTGGTTGTGTTTAGACAAAAATAAAGTTAAAAATTTGTAGCCCATAGGCTTTCTGCTGCTAATTTCCTTCAAAAATAACTGGAGTTTGCCACTTTACTAATCAAAATAACTGATCAGATTTAAATAAATAAAAGCGGTAGTTTATTTAATCACATGCTCCGAACAAATCAACAAATTGATAATATTTATATTATTATTTTTACAGTGTCTAGAAGAGAACAAAAGTTACACCAAGCAGCCAAAGAAAATGACGCAGCTACAATCCGTGCTCTTTACTCTCAAAACAGCAAGGAGATCAACAGTAAGAATAATGTAAGTTTATGTTTCAGCAATTTGGGGTCGACTGCTTGGAAAAGGAAGAAAACCATTTCCACCTTCAAAACATCAAGCACACAACAGATGAGTAGATTTATCTTCCCAGAGAGGATAGTGATGTATTAATCATATTGCTGTAGTTAACTATAAATAGTAATATGAGTCGTGCACGAGACGGCGTATGATCACTCTTTGTAAAGCACGTGATAACACTTCTCATTTCAGCAGTTTACATAGCTAACAAACGACCCTTGACCCTGTTCAATCAACAGTATTTTAGTCCATGGTCTTGTGATAAAGTATAACTCTACATGTACATACAACATTAATTGTGAAATATTATGTATTTAAAGTTTTATATATATTTTATTGTAAGCAACCATCCCCAACCTATACCTATTGGAGTAGAATCTTGATGCACTATATCAAGAAATGGGCGAACAGACAAAGCCCAAAGCAGTTTATATTCAAGTTCCCGAGATAATTTTAAATTTAGGCCCAATACATTTCTCAAGCGCCGAGCTCACATAGATACCAAACGCCTGTAGTTTTGCTGCAGACAGATTAATAAAAAAACCACTTCAAAGATAACCATGTTTCTTGTAGTCGTCATCTATACAACGATATCCTGAGAGCGGAATGTAATTGTAATTGTTCTTCCATAAGTATGTGTTATAGTTTATTGCTCTATTGCAGCAACTAAATGCAGCTAAAAAATAAATTATGCTATGGTACCCGAGATGACACATGCTCTTCAAAGATATCTTTCTTTTAGTCTGATCCCTTCTGTAATTGTTCTACCATAAGTATGTGTTATACGTAGTTAATTGCTCTAGCCAATTGCTAAATGCCCCTAACAAAATTAAATTATACTATAATACTTTTGTTTACAAATAATATTATTGAAATGCCTTAGAATTCTTACATGATAACCCCTTAAAAATAAAATCATCCGTTAATTTAAAAGGATCTTAATATCATATTTTCTCAGCTTGATAGAACGCCGTTACATTGGGCAGCTGCTAATGGCAACATGGAAGCTGTTCAGGCTCTTATTGAAGGTGGTGCCGATCTGGAAGGAAAAGACAAGGTAATGTAATTAATACATGTATTTTCAGATGGATAAGTCTACAGATCATTACACACATTTTAATGAAATGTATCGACCAGATGATATCCTATTTGGATGCAAGTTGATTTGTAGTTGAATAGCTGAAAACAAGACCATTCACTGCTAATAATAATAATACTTCCAGTACTTAACTTTCTTATACATGTATATCCATACATACTGATATCACAGACAGTACTTTCCAGATGAAACTCCCCATATGTACGAATGATCGTTTAATTAATGAATGATTCTTTATCTGAACCAGGTGTTTGTTTGTTATCCATATATGTGTTTATACATATGCCCATTTTTTCATTTAATGCTCACAATAAAGTTTAAAATTAGAAGATATTTACAGGAAATCAACATAGGATAGAATCCAAAATACACCAATTAACATAGGTGAAAATGTACATGTACTGAGTAAGCTAACCATGAGATATAAAAATACAGCGGTTGTGCAAACTTTATTCTGGAATATCTTGTGGGAACCCATTAATTAAGACTCGTCCAGTTTAAAAGCCGTCTACGGGGACGCCATTCATTTTACATTGCATGCTACTGAATAATCTAATCATAGTCTATAATCTAATAGAAGAACATTTGAATTGTAAATATTATTAGACATGAAGTAGCTCCAGCAGAATACCAAACCCCGTTGGCTAATTTCTATATATCGTTTTTAAATGAAACTTTATTTCCTACAGACTTAATTTGAGATTTGGGTTTTTTCCCCTTATACTAGACGTGACCTCCAAGAATTAATCAATTGATGAAATTGTATTCTCCTTGTGGGGAAATATCACTTTATCAAATTTCCATCTTTCCAAATGAACAATGCAAACAATAAGATGAATATGTTTATGATTATGTTGGTTGATCGACGAATTTCACAAAATGTTTAATCGATATTCGCAGTCTACTTTTGACCGGTTGTCGTAAGCCATCTTTGATGAATCGCAACTAAATGGCGATTGTCAGACTATTTATGAAAATGCCCGACAAAGCAATGGTCCCTGTTGTCTAGCGAATTTGAATTCGCATCTATAATTCTCCCATTGTGGTAGTTAAACCCCCGAGAAGGAATCTGTAACTCATGTCTGTTGAAAAGTGAATAGAATGCTTTTAGATACCATAAATTATTCAGTACGTGATTCGGTGCCAAGAATTTCTCATTTTCTCTTAACTTTCAGTATGGTATGCGACCGGTCTTATGGGCAGCTTGGTTTGGACATCTCCCCGTCTTGAAAGCTCTTATTCGATCTGGAGCAACACCATTGTGCTCCAATAAGGTAAGTTTCATTCTGTCTGTGTGTCTAGCAATGTACTGTTGTTAAGAACTGTAAATATTTGATTAATGTTTTGTGAAGATATAGAAACTATTTTCTGACTAAAAGCTTATCGTTTCTTCTAGATTGTCTCTGAAATACAGTTACAGCGTTTGTGATCAATAAATTCAGACATTTTAGAAGATCTATGGCATCCATGACGAACTCTATAGTTTAAGTAAGGTCTCGGTTTAACACAGATATTATGCAATACTTGCTATTAATCCAGCTTATTCACGCGTACCATGCGATAAGCACCCCAAAGGTCTTTAGAAGAGTTTAACGCAGCTTCTTTGGGGTTATCCCAGAATATCGAGGATAGAATCAATCAACTAACAGGTAGCAATAGTAACCGTGTTATAGGGTACCTTAAAGTGAATAGCTTTATCATACATTAAAGCATAATAAACTGTCATTTTGAATTAGTTATTACGTTTGGTAGTTATGGAGGGGCGGGTTAAACATTTTTCCTAAGGTTGATAAGTTAAACTATCTATACAACGTAAGTTCAACCCCACGATTATACATGACCAGAGGTCCTCTCCGTTCTCTAGAGTAGATTATTTTATTATCAGACCTGATTCATTTATATTTATTGGAATAACAAAATAAATACGAATTTGTTTTTATCTTATTTTCAGCAAGGCCTTAGTATTGTTCATTGTGCGGCTGAAAATAATCACGTAGACGTGATGAACTTTATACTGGAATCTTTAGAAGGTATAAATGTCAATGAGGTTGATAAGGTAAGAATGATTTTAATCCTTCTATTGTGTTCTATTTTGTTATCTCCAATTTTTTATGGAAACGACTGTCTATCATTTAAAAACGTTCTTATAAACTTATTGTATTTTGTTTGGTTTGGATTTTGCTTGAATTTTGTTTTCCTCTGCTGCGAATAACGTACTGTTAAATGCCAATCTGGTATTTGTATTCTTCCTGGTACCAAGTCGATAGAGGTCGATTTTATATATATTTTTAACTATTCAACACTCTATGTACTTGCTTTCATCAAACTGTTCCAAGAGATCAGTCTATTGTAGACATATACCAGTGCCGTTATTTGTGTTCAGGGCAGTTTGAATTATGGTAAATCGTCAATAAAATGTATTAATTGTCATTCGGATAACGTTACAAATCCGTTGGTTTTGTTCGGAAGTCATGTCAAAATGATATATCATTCTCCTGTGGAAATATAAACCAGACAGTATTATAAAGCCATAAATCGATGGAATTCGATTAAATGAGTGGATTTTACCCCAGAATGGGCAGAACCCAGCAGATGGAAATTTACATACATTACCTACAAATATATCATGTTTGGCCTTCCAGACATTGTATATATCTACATCAGGGACAGATTTTCAGCGTTTTTATCAGTCTTGGTTGAAATCCCTTGTGTACTTGTCTGAGTCTGGCTTCCGGTCAACGAGAATGGTAATTTAATAAGATATTGCCCATTTGTAAGCAAAGGGTACGATTTCAGCAAAAGGACTTCACTGATTTGTGTTGAATTATGTACTCGTCAATCGATACGAAAGTGTCTGATTGGTCAGTTCGATCGTTTCTAACATTGCGTTATACATTTTAATGTTGGCAAGGTCTCACAGATTAATCCCTAATAACTATGACTGTTACTTTGATATGTGTTGTTTATTTCTGGCAAATCTATGTGGCTTGTCTTGTCCGCAGGTTTGTCTTTTCGGTTCTATTGTACATGTAGTGCGGTTCCCCCGCACTTAATGGTCATAGTAACATTGTCTGGTTATAGACTTTAGGTTCTAACGTTATTGATTAACCCATCAAGCCAAACGTTGCATCTCAAATGCGTTCCCGTCACACTTATTCAACTAAAATGTCTGTTACTTTAGATTGTTGATGAGGAGGGACATTATCTCAGCAACTGAAAATTCGCCGGGTTTTATTTCTCACACGTTAAAGATGTTCTTGGTGGGGCTTGATTCAATTCATCTCCCAATTTATCTGAAATTGACCTCTTGTAACTAAGACTGGCCTTTAATTAAAATGGTGTCCAGCTTCTTGAACGATAGACATAAAGTACAGTATCAAAGTCTGTTATCAAAGTCTAAATGATTTAGTGCAATAAAACTCTTACACAATGTGGGGTATGCTTATTCTTTTTAGAACGTTGTGATCAACTTCATTTTTATTTGGTGTAATTTACATCCACTTTCAATGATAATTTCCCTCTAGAACTGGAAATTTGGCGTCAGGATAATATCATCTATTTCTTCAATAAAAAAGGCTGAAAATAAAATATGAAATTCAAAATCATATACATATTTTCCTTTTGAATATTTTCCTTCAACTCAGTGACTAAAAGATAAGTTTGTTGTATTTTATGCATATAGGACAACTTAGGGTAATTTTTAAAGATACATTATGGGAGATTGAATTTTCGGCCTAGTCTCGATCATCATTACTAAAGTCGGTACAATAAAAATCATAGTCTCGATTATCCACTTCATGATTAAATCATGAATGAAAGTTGAGCAGCAAATCTGATCGTAATTCAGTAAATAACGCAGGCTAGCGCTGACATCGAGCGTTGATTAATAATAATAATAATTTATTTATAATGCGCCTATTACCAATATAAAATACTGTTCAATTGCGCAGTTAACATTTTGTGGACATCACACATAGAAAAATAAAATAAAATTAAATGGATGATAAAATAAATTAAAATGGCATACGATAACAATCAAAATATGGTAGTAAAGATTATAATAAAATATGACGTGTAATAAACAAATTAAAATAGTTAAAAGTAATAAAGAATAAAATAGAACAGCGCCTAAAACAGTATACAATGAACTCGGATACCTGCATTAAAAGCCATAGTAGTCAACAAAAAGGTGTGTTTTTAAATTGCGTTTAAAACTTTCAATGCTATCAGATAGTTTAATATTGAGAGGTAAGGTATTCCACAGAAAAGGAGAACGATTACCATAAGATGTGGAAGGATAAAAAAGGTGTAAGCAGGTAGCTATTTTTAGATCGGGGTGTACGGGATGGAGTATAATAGGGAGATAAGGGATTTAAAGTAATCTGGCGAATTATCTGAATGTAATGTAGAGTAAGTAAGTAAGTATTTTGAAAGTGATACGGTGTGATATAGGAAGCCAGTGTAGATCATGTAAAACAGGGGTAATGTGATCAGTAGGTTTAGTTCTGGTAATGCTGCTTTATTCTGAATTTTCTGGAGGAGAGACACCTTATTTTCGGAAAGATTACATAGCAGGGAATTACAGTAGTCCAAACGAGATGTAACAAGGGTATTCACAAGCATTTTACAGGTTTCATTATCAATGAAGTTTCTTATTCGCCTCATTTTATACAGTTGAAAATTTGTTGATTTACAGATGGACGATATATGGTTACCCATGTTAAATTTACTGTCAAATTAACACCTAAATTTCTAACATTCTTACCAACTTGAATTGTATCGATGGACAATTTTTCTATTTTTTGATTTGATCCAATAATAAGCACTTCAGTTTTATCATCATTTAGTTTCAGGAAATTGTTTGTCATCCATTCTTTTATTGATAAGATGCCGTTTTCAAAGTTGGAAATAATACTTGATTGAGAGTTTGGTTTGATAGCTAAATATAGTTGTGTATCGTCGGCATAACTGTGATAGACCAGGTTATGGTTTCTAATAATATTACCTAGAGGTGTAGTGGAGGCTGTAAACAGAAGTGGGCCTAATAGCTATCTTTGTGTCACTCCAAACTGTAGATTAACTGGATTTGATTATCTTGGTCAATAACAATTACTTGCTGTTTTCTATTATTTAACTTAGTGCACATCCTTGAACATGACATCGCTTTTCAAGTCTTTTCAGTAATACATTTTCATCAATGGTGTCAAACGCGGCACTAAGGTCTAAAAGAATCAAATACAACGGCGTTTTTACTATCTAATTTACATAGAATGTCATTATAGACTCGAAGGAGGGCTGTTTCTGTACTGTCGCCAGTTCTATATGCTGATTGAAAAGATTCATTTAAATTGTTATTCTGAAGATGTTGTTTAAAGCGGATTGAAACGATTTTCTCAATTAATTTAGAAACAAATGACAAGTTGGATACAGGTCTGTAGTTTTTAAGCACATTAGCGTCGAGATTACACTTCTTGATTAATGGAAAAACTAAAGTTGATTTTAAGTTGTCAGGAAATCATCCTGTTTTTAGAGATGTGTTTATAATATGGGCTAAAACTGGACATAATTTATCGATACACTTTTTAACAAGTTGGGTTGGTAGTGGATCTAGTGCACGCGATGCAGAAGAACTGGACAAAACATCACTATTTTTCAATAAAACATTTATTATATTTTGGACTTCCTTCGGATTAGGCTTATGTTTGGAAATTACACTAATAACGTAATTTTGTTTAGTGCGTTTTGTTAATCTATTAGTATCATTCATAGACTTACAATAACTGTCTATGAATTTTGAGTTTAAACTTCATCCAATTTTTTTCACATTTTCTACGTTGAATTTTACTATTTCTAATTTCATCTGTAAACCACTTTCGATTTGGCCTAATTGTAATTTCTTTTTCCACGATAGGGGCATGTTTATCTAAAAGTTCCGATAATACCTGGTTGTAATATTCAATTTGGTTTTCTCAGTTCGAAATTGTTTGAAGATTTAAGAGAAGATCACTCTGAATAATATCAGCTTTGAAAGAGCCAATATTAATGTTTCTAGTTTTCCTAAATTTTTCTGTATACTCACTTTATCAATAATGTTATCAGTCTCGCGTGTAATAACAATATCTAAACGATGCTCTCGTCTGTGGGTTATGTCTGTAACATACGGCACAAGGCCAAAAGAGTTCAATATATTATGGAATTCGTCAGAAACAGTATCATCAACCTTATCAAGATGAATGTTAATATCACCAGTTATAAAAATCTTACCAGGTTTAGAAGATATATCCAATAAACGATCCGAAAATTCACTAAGAAAGACACTAGTTGATGTTCTATTTGGAGGTCGATAAAAACACGCAAGATGTATATTATCATTGTTGGATTTGAGAAAGGTGTGAAGAACTTCAAAACTTTCTTAATTAATAGCTGACGTAACAGGAGATACATTCAAAGTTTTCTTGTAGAATATTGCTAAGCCACCACCAGGTTTCAACAGCAACAAATATGTCAATGTCATTGTCTATAATTAATTCTTGAATTTCATCGGTTTTATTTTTTATGGATTGACAGTTCAAGACACATAAATTTACTTGATCACACTTTTTATCTTTACTATTAACATCTAGTTGTACTAAATTAGTAAAATCTACTCACCTTTTCCCTCTTTTTCTGGATACAATTTCCTACCCCAACAGTTTGAGTTAATTAGATGGTCAGTTGATAAGAGTTCGGGAAATTGTTCATTAACAACATTGAAGATAGGAGAGTTGTATTGTTTTTGGGTATAATCCAGAGATTCCAGCTCACTGAAACTGTTGGTGATCATCTCTGATGATTACTATTCGTCACTATACACTGTCAACTATGGGCTATTTTCATCCAAAATACACATTAAAATATAAAAAATTCCAGAATAAATTTTCTAACAGGTATCCTTATGTTATAAACCAAGTCCATGCAAAAAATAACTAGTACTAATATCATTTAAAACATATAAAATTACAAACAACTAGCAGACAAGACACAGTGCAACCTCTTGCTAGCCATCTTGATCAATTATTGTGGTCTGGATAACTTAATTAATGTCTGGATAACTTAATTAATGTCTAATTAATAATTTAGATAATATTGCAGGCCTAAAGATAGTCCTGCAATAGGCCGATTAAGCTCTTGCAAAATGTATGTTTAAGTTGCTTTTTAAATTGATATTTTATGACCCTGGTATCAAAACCAATCACTTTTATCTGAAAGGTTTCCTTCCTGACCCTGTTAAACGTGTGCCTAAGTTTTTGTTTGTTATTTTTTTTATTATATTATTGTTTTTAAATGTCACCAGACATTTGATTTCAAGGCGAATTTGTACTTGAGAACTATCAGCTGACATATTCAAAAGTTCAAAACATGTCTAAAACAGATGTCTCCATCTTCTTACTTTAATATGACAGTTTTTATTTGGGGGGGGGGGGGGTATAGCACCGAGTCATTTCTGGGTTCCTTCATTTATTATTATTTTCTGTCTTCTTTCAACAGAATGATAGGACGCCCTTACACCTAGCTGCTGATAATGGTCATTTAGAAGCTGTTTGTAAATTACTAGAATCAAAGGGGGAAGTTCATCGGAAGGATAAGGTTGGTATTTTTACTGGCAACGTTTGTATCAGATGGTAATTTATGACTAGGATGTAAACGAACAATGTTCGGTTAATTCCGGGCACAAAACTAATGTCTCCACTATATAGTTTAAAATCCATTGATCACGTCGAAACAGTATTTTTCTAGATTAACCATGCATGTCAAACTGACAGTCTGGTCGAAATCTGGTTAATCGAGATGCGCTGTGATCTCTCGGAACCGACCCTGTTTCGAGTAAAAAAGAACAGACCAACCAGTCCATTTTCCCAGCTTTCGATATCATTTGCTATCCAGTGTATTCAAATTGATACATATCGTTATATTCGAATCAAACTCTTTTGTAGAATGGAGAAACAGCTGTGCATTTAGCTGCTACAAAAGGACATGCTGATGTATTAAGAAGTTTATTATTAGTTGGTATTGAGGTAGATGATAGAGATGTGGTAAGTGTTGCTGTATTCCTCGCAATTCTATGGTTCTCCTTTCACAAATAGTAATCAGATCAAAGAGGGATTAACCCTATGGCTGTAAATATGGCGAACCAAACCGTGCAACTTTATACGATTAGAAATACAATGAAGCCCGGTGTTTAAATTACAGAACCGCCTAAAATGAAACGAAAATTTTTTTGGAGTACGATTTTATTGGACCATATTTATATAGAACTCATACTGATATTTGGAATCGAGTTTCCACGCCCAAAACTTTACGGTGTCCGAAATTTTATTGCATATGTCAGATTGAAAAGAAAAGTTTGTGATTTGTTATCGTGAAAATAGCTCAAAATATTGATTATTCCTAATTACCCGTTCTATATTTCTGTCCCTGAATTTAATATCAAATTCGTGTAATATCAAATTGGACATCCTTAACTGTAATAATTTGTTTATCTGTTTAGGAAGGTAGAACAGCTATACATGCTGCTGCTGAAAATGGACACAAAGAAATAGTTGATATGTTATTAGATTATATGGCTAGCCCTGATGTTGAAACTATAGTAAGTATGACTATTAATTCAATTTTGGTACTACTGTCTGTTTAACTTCAGTACGATCAGTATATCTAGGACATGATTATAAATAGTCGAGTTAATGACGTACAGGTGTAGTTGGAGATGAATTATATATAACATGACCATATGAAGCAACCATGTGGAATCATTTAGAGTGTTACAGGAATATCGTAAAGTATGAGAACATTTGAAATCAGTAACAAGGAACTCATGATACTGCATCTCTGTTTTCACTGCAAATTTTTCGAGGTTTTTGAAGTTTCGGGGGCAGGGGTGTTAGGTTTCATTTTTGTTTTGTTTTCCTTTGTATCTGTATACGTTCATCAAATTGTTTTGGATTTTTCTCCTTTTTTGTTTTGGTTTTCTTTTGTATCTGTATACTTTCAGCAAATCAGTATTAATACGTGCACCCACCAGAAACACATGCAACTAGTAATTATGATTTTAAATATTCTTCTTCTATCTAGGCAGAGATTATCAGTTCTAGAACCAGTAGAAAGAATAAGCCTTGTTTTCTTTTGACATATCTAACAAAATATTTAATATTCGTATGCAATCAAATGGTGAGCTTTCAAGAGTGCTGATAATATTTTGATCTGACATATTACATTGGACCCTCACAGATCACGATATCCCAGCGGTCGAAAAATAAACGTATAGTTTATATCCAATTTCATCGCCCTAGTTGATTTTCCAATGCGAATTATATATTGAATTAATATTTGATACCAATTTGGACATTATTAAAATATTTGAGATTGACTTGTGTCTTTAGATTAATTATTAAAACACTGTTGTAAATTCTTAAAGCATAATTACGCGTTTCTATCCTTTTTATTTTATGAATATTAAATGTGTGAAAACTTTAGTTAGATAATTTTTTCTTTCAATTTCAGCGTGAAATAACACCATTACATTTAGCAGCAACGCATGGATTTGGGGACATTTGTCAAAGTTTAATAAAAGTAGGCTGTAACGTGGATGCTCAAAACTTTGTAAGTTTTTATATTGATGTTGTGTTTCGTAACTGGAACTGGATATTTTTTCTTGTTCCTAGGGCGGCGGTTTTTAAAATAAATCATCCAAATGTTCCCCGATCCAAATGAAACTTCGCATGCCTTTTCCTTGAAATATTGCATATCGATTGACAACCTTGATTTTTGATACATTTCCAAGATCACTGCAAAGGCATTCTGGTCGATTCCCAGTTCATATACTAGGCCTATATGCCCGTACTTGTTTTATTAATGAACCAGCGAAATATATTCTTTATTGACACTTTATATTATGCCTTCATGCATTTACTTTATAAATTAGCTGATCTATGTGTTTCTATTGTTATAATTTTATGATCTATATTACCATATTGCAGCAAGGTAATACGGCACTTCATATGGCGGCCCTAGGGAATCATAAAACTGTAGCTTTAACTCTGGTCGATGCCAAATGTGAATTAGATCTTCCAAACCATGTAAGTTATAATCCACTGGGAATTCAGGTTTATTAAGTTATATAATTTTTATAGTCTTCATATTGAAATTCAAATAATGAAAAATCAATATTGATTCGAATATATGTTTTATCTACACTGGCAGAATAAAACTTGTTCGGCATAAGCTGTGTAACAAATAAAAGACAGTTTTGAAGAAAACATATAAATAGTATTGATAGAGTTACTGTGAAATTTGCTTTAATTCGCTAATTGTGCCGATTTACTTGCACCCATTATAAATTATACAGATAATTCTGAATTATAATCTATTATGTTTCTAAAACATATATGTGACTCGCCGCGTCAATATGAGTCAGAATGCGGAAAAATTAATTTTGCACAAGAGACAAAATAAGCGAAAATATTGATTTTGATCGAAATTGAGATTTTCACAAAAATGAGTCAATAAATATACTATCTATCGACTCTAAGGATCAAAATAGCAATAAAACATTTTAAAACGCCTTTATTTGGACGTTTTGTAAGAGTACCGTATTCTTAAATCTGTATTTTTCTGAATATTCTCAGTGGAATTAGATTTTTTTGTCTGCTCGCAGCGGGGCGACCTGTCAATCCTCTTGCAAAATGCATGGCATCGTTGTAAAGCGGATAATCTCTAGTTTATAAATATGACCAAAATATTGCCGATGAATTCATTTTGAAGGAATACAAAAGGGTTTTAAAACCCCTAAAAATGTAAACACACTCCGCTTGTTGCTATGCTTCCAACAACGCGTGCAAAGCATTCTGGTTCCGTGACCGCATCGAGGCTTAAGCAGACGATAGAAATTAGATTTGGGCAATGTTATGGGGTGTCTACATGCGATTCACTCTGAGAAGTGGCAGAAAACAACTGTTGTTGTTGTTTATTAAAGATTTAACGTCCAATACAATGAATATGATATTATGGACAGGTTGATTTCATTAAATTATTTAGACTTGAAAATTGTTAAAAACACAAAATAAAAAGATACTTGGTTGGATACCAACAACTTAATTCTGAATCTGATCGTATATAGATAGCCGTTGAGTGTTAATCAAAACATTGTAAATCAATCAACAAGCCGTTCGTGTCATTGAGTAATACTAATCCGTAATCACTTCTCACGAATTAATGATTAGTTGATTGATAATTAACAATGAAAAGGGCGCATTTACTACGATTTTCGTCTTCGGCACCTTTGAAAACCTAAAGAAGAAAATATTAATATTAAACAACAAAATAACGAAAGATTTAATGGCATGGTTCCTGTGTGATATTGTTTTAGAACATACCGACACCTTTCTAAAAACTGCAGATGTCAGTGCATTCAATTCATTTGCAACTGGGAGCTCGCCCTTTTCCATTCTCGAACGTTAAACAGTCGCCCATGCCCGATGAATTAATAAATTAAATTCTCGTAATGCAATTATAACCACTGTAATTAAATAGCGTTTGTTTACAGCTGTCTATACACTGACATCGTAACCGTGCCCTACGAAAACTCCATAGTATATACAATGGAACTAGTTTCAATTAAGGTTTATAGTCAAACCATGTTAATATCGTATCTTTGATCATAAGGCCTAGTACCATCTCTTTTAACTAGAACTCGGCAGTCAAAACAGTAGATCAATCAGTACCCAATTAATTAAGCTGTATTCAATAGTCAAACCATATTAATAAGGGATCTTTGATCGACGATTTCTTTGGGGGTCATGGAGAATATTCCACCACCAGCGAAACGTGGTCGTGGTCGCGGTCAAACCACGAACAGTGATATTGTTCCACCATGGTCGACATGGGCGTTAACAGAACATTAAATTAGTAATCATAATAAACACGCAATAGCTAAATGATTCCGCACCCCACCGTATCGTAGCAAAATGAACTGGCTCATCTAAATGGCCACATTTCCAGTGCTCGAATTACTTTTCTTTTACAAATCATCTTATTTCGAGTGCTATTATTATTCCATTTGTTAATATATTTTATTTAAAAAAAATACTAGTAATTTGTGATGCATTATAATACAAATTGTTATTATATTTTATTAAATTTATGAGAGTTTTTAGCATACTGTTGTCTTTTGAAGAATGTTCTCTTTTCTTATACTTAACATCATAAGGTGTTGAATACCGTCGTTTCATTGGTATACCCTATCCTGCAAGGTGTGACCATAACTGATGGGTGACCATAAAATCACCGAATATGTAAAATGATAAATATTTGTTGCATCGACCCAAAACCATGTTTTCGTATTCAGCGCCCCCGAAAACCTCTAAAATGATATATTACACGAGTACCAAGTATAAGAACTCCATTAATTGCCATTTTGGTGGAGGATACAGTCCAGTCGACCCCTGATGCTACAACCTTTGTGCCTAATAAAACATATAAAATGACATTGCACCAGCCGGTTACAAATATACGGTGATAAAAAAAAACGTATATTTGTCATTTTGGTCGCCATTTTGTTAAAACAAAATGGTTGATATTGTCGGATTAATTTTACTGCTACGATTATCATTTCGGTCGCCATTATTAAAAACCAAATGATGGGCATTATCGGATTTACTCTTATGCTGCAATTTTTTGATGTAGCACCCCCAAAACGCATTCAATGACGTTAATAAACACATAACTTATGAAAACTCGAAAATCTGTCATTTTGGCGTCCATTTTGAAAAAAAAGATGGTGGAAATTGTTGGATCAAATTTTTACTACAATTTTCGTCTTCAGCACCCCTGAAAACAATATTCAACGACAAAACAGCAAATAAATGGCTTGGTCGCTATGGGATTTTGTTTTGAAACATACCAAATCTTTAACTTGATTTTTCTCAAAACTTACTTTGGTGAGTTGGATGGCTTTAAGCAGTCACAACTCAGTCAATTTTTGTCCGATTCAAACAAACTATATATCAAATTGAAGGTAATGAGTCGGAGAATGTGAAAATAACAATAACTCAATTTTCAAAATTTCCTCATTCCGACTCAGTATGCCATGGGGGGGGGGGGGGGGGGGTGTCACATATTTTGAACAAGAAATTGTTCCGAAATATAAAACAACTCATAATATTAACTTACTTAATATTATGTATCTGTCTGATGTACTATTTCTTTACTTGAATTTAACTAGAAGTTATAATTTGTAGATTTATCAATGACTCGAAATGGAAGATAAACTAAGGTCTCGTGTACACATTGGCGTCACGTAAAAGATCGCATGACAGTTGGAATTCGATATAAGAGTAATCCGTAGCGCCACTGCCCGCATAACACACTGTATGGAGTATACCCGTCTTCGTTAACCTAGTCGGAACAGAACAGTAGGACGTTAAACCCCATTCATTTAATTTTTTAAATATATTCTGCAATGAAGTCACACACATCGACATTTTAAGCGTGTATCATTCATTAATATTTTACACACACGTTCAATAGATTATTTTGAGAACAAAAGGTGAAATATAAAATATCACACTTCAATAATCCGGTTGTCAAGTTATACAAATCGTTGGCATCAAACACCCAATTAAATATAATACAAGCATTTCAATTATAGATTAAATATTTAACAACATCAGTTACATTAAAAGTGCATATTCGATATCGAATTGTATTTACGCGATCTTGAGCACTTGAATATGTCATGTCAGACAAGGCTGTCGAGAAACTTAGGAAGCAATTACCGGTTTTACGCTCAATCAGAGCTAAATGCGCTTTCATCGACATTTAACTGTCATAGTTCTTTTGGGGATTTTCCGCCCATGACTCTCAAACTGATTTATCTAGTAGCGATATCGTCCTGTACATATAAGATTTATAGATTTTGCTAATGAAAAAAGGTAGATAGCTTCCCGTCTATCTGATTAAAATATGGATCTAAATTTAATCTCGGTTATTTTATAGATGTATTTATATGCTGTTATTTCTCCGGCAAAGATTTTGTAACCGTCGAATGAATATCTCCTCACCATGATATCTCATTAGCTAATGTCTTAAATAACAGTGGCATTATTAAGGAATATCTTGTAAAATAATACAGTCACTGAATAATCAACGTCATCAAATCTCTTCCTTGTATAAAGTCAATCAGATTAAATCAAGATGACATTTTCGCTCCGTTTATTTGACATGGTCTCGCCATGAACATATTTAAGAAAAGTGCGGTCTATGGCTTATTTGACCTCAATTACAAAGAAAATCAAATGTCTGGATAACTAAAGTATTTTGTGGAATTGATTTTGAACCGATCACAACCTGTGCCTTGCCGAGAGGTTCTTAAAAATAAATCAAATTGAAGAATAGTGTACAGCGGAAAAATCCAACATAACGAAATATTGCTTTTATTTAAATTAGATTAATATTGAAGTAAGAATATGAATTCTGGTTTCCTAATCTCTTTGTTTCGTTATAAAGCGAAAACTTAGGTTACAATCATAAAAAGAGATTTGCATTTTTTATCATATTATCGGCCCTTATCGTATTCTCGATACTGTGACAATTGTTTTTAAATAAAAGAAATCATATTTGTTATAGAGATTACAAACTGCCTTACATTTAGCTGTAGAAAATGGTTATTTAGATGTTGTGGAGGTTTTGTTAGCAGGAGGTGCCAGCCTAGAGGCCAGGGAAAAGGTAATGGTCGTTCTAGCTCTAGCTTTGTGGGGGTTTTTTTATTACTGCATACTAAAGTAGATTGTGAATTATGCGCGATTTTCTATTTTCTTAAAGTTAAATTGTTCTTGAAGAATTAGGGGCTGATAAAATTAATAAATGTTTTGTTAGTTTTTTCGTCGAAATATTTTCGGTGTTCGTTCTTTTGATTGCGCATGTGGGAACTATCTGTTTTATATTTTGAATTGTTTTGTAGACTGGTAAAACTCCGTTACAGTTGGCAAGCCGTGGAAGTTTTGTAGCAATAGTTGATATGATTATAAAAGCTGAAAGATATTATGCAATAGCTCGGGTATGTATCATACAAATGTATTGATGATTTCATAATAGGTTCATATTTTACTCTGCATTTCATAATAACTTTTGTTTGTTGACTACGTGTAATGATGTTTCACATAATTAACTGAATCAAATATTGAATTTGGTTGATCTGATGCTTTATTTCGAACAGTGACAGGGCAAGCTTTATGTGATTAAGTGTTTAAGTGTTGGTCCTTTTTTAATTAAGCAGAGTTCGGATGTGACTGATTATGTCCACAGTAGAACGCAAATTCGGCTATATCTGTTGGCTTTGTCTGTAGACTTCAACGAAAACAGATTATTGTCACACAAAAAATAATCGACATATAAAATCCAATGAAATCACCGGTCACTATTATGTGCACTATCATATTATTAATTTGTCAGTTTATATTTATGGAGATTGAATTTAGGATCCATGGAATTACATATCTTATTTTCGTTCCTTTCACACCTACATGTATACACTGCTAACTGTTCATTATAACAGATGGGCTGAGAAGGAGCCTGTAAGTAGATCTATGGAAGGCGAGGGGGCCCCTAAAGAAGTTAATGTTCTAACGTACTTTATGGACTCCTTTTAGTTTGGAGGCCATAATCATTCTTTACGATGAATTTCGGTGAATTGGATACATTGTCACACTCTGCATATTGTGCATAAGTTTGAAAGATCAGGATATACTCAAGAAAGCCCCATTTATAGTCAGTTTTTCAAAAAGGTTGTCTCCTAGAGTTGGTGGGCGCCCACGAGACCAGACTCCGAGATTTCTTACCCCGGTCCATCACGGTGGTCCCTGCATTATAGATGCATATTCATGTATGAATTAATTCTATTTTGTAAAATATATTCAAGGATTATCATGATAGTGATCTGGGTTATGTTGATCCTCACCTCTATCTAAGACGACCAGCTCATCCGTCCGCTCTCCAGATGAAAGATGTCATGTGGAAGCTAGCTACTAAACATCTCAAGCCCACCGACTGGAAAAAACTTGCCGTTCATTGGAAATTTACCCCAGAACATTTAAGGGCAATAGAACACCAGTATACGGGTAAGATAAAGCATTTGATAAATTCATTGTATAAATGCATTATTAACTTCCTCCGCTTCTTGTCCCAGTGCAATAAACTTAGATTTTCTCCATTAGTGATATAAACATGCTTCAATAGTACTGTATGGAAGTGAACATAACTGGTGTTAACAATTGTCATAGGCAGTGCATACACCTGTTCTAAAATACATTATTCTAAAATGCTGAATTGATATCTAAAACGTGTATTGTGCTCTTATTTAAATAGTGCACTGGTCTCTATCATCACTACACCGTTATTGGAAATCCACTACCATATCTGAAAGAAATATTGTAAACTCAAACACGCTATGTTCTCTAGTATGCCTATATTGATATTGGTACTTAATTACCACTTCTGACATATATGATAGGCTTTAATCTTGAATACCGATGATCTCTATCATCTCTATGTTATTATTACTGGGCATGCCATATCTAACCTTGTATGTATTGTGATCTAATCTCAAATACTTTTTTCTGTCATGTCTACTTTGTTTTGGTACTTCACTTAACTACGGCCGTATCTGACCAAATATACTGTGCTCTAATCTCGAATACAAATGGTCTCTACCACCTCTACATTTTTACTGGCCATAGTCTGACATTGTATTCTACTCTTAATCTCGAATACGCTGTTCTGTCATGTTTCCATTGTTTTGGTACTTCACTTAACTAACATATCCGACCAAATATACTGTGGTCTACATGTTTACTGGTCATAATCTTACATTGTATTGTGCTCTAATTTCCAATAGCTATGATCTCTATCATCTCTATGTTGTTAATGGTAATTATTCATTAACCCAGTTTTATCTTTATGTTCTTTCCGTCATTACAGGTACAAATTCATATAAAGAACATGGCTATAGACTGCTGATGATTTGGTTACATGGTATAAGAAAAGATGAAAATGTGATGAAAAAACTATTTGAGGCCCTGGTGGCCACCGACAGGAGACAACTTGCTGGTATAAACATTTTTAAATCTAGTTACTACTGAATATTAAATGTGCTTTTAGAATATTAATTGCATGATCTTATATAAATATGGAAACTTGTTGTGTTCAGTTTGTAATCTCGGGCTATTTTTATCGCCGACGAAACTGTGGAACGCACGACGTGAACACATGTTCGTGGAAGATATAATTTATGCATTTAATACAGATAACGTTCTTTTGTCATTCAAAAAGTTAGAAAAAAGTCCACTTGCTTGTTGATTAACTTTGATTAACAAGTTATTGTTCGCCCACGATTTATTTTTTTGATTTTGTCAAAGTGGTAAATTTGTATATAATCTGACATAGATATCCCAGTAATAGTTAGAGCTATTGTTCTTCGTTAAATACCCCGTCTTCAATATCCCAGCCGGAGCCGAACAGTAGGACGTTAAACCCCTTTCATTCCATTAAATACTGGCATTAAATCGAGGCGGGAAGTCGAGGGCCGGGGCGCAAGAAGACGACGATTTTAAATGCGAGCTGTCGAGGGAGCGAGAAGTGGAGGAAAATAATCTCTAGTATTCTGCACTTCTCGCTCTGGTTCTCCAAGTCTTGTGACCCCGTCGTCGAATTCTCGCACTCTAGACTTCTCGTATGTTGAAATTATAACATGATATCAACCAGCTTCCATATATAATCAACATTAACTGGATTGTCAAGATATATACAGTGACCAACGTCGTCTATTCTATTTTATAGAATCCATCAGAAGAAAAGCAAATCTACAAGCTGAGAAACCATGTTCCCCGTCATTTTGTGCTGTTTCCTAGCTTCATCGGGACAAACCAAGTGGCAAAAGAAGTTATTGTACCCTCATTGCTTTTGAATACGACAACGATGACCTTTGTTCGGGGATCCGCGTAAACTATGCCTGAAGTGTCAGTTTCTTTCTGAAGTAGATGAAGAAAAACAAATGAAAGGCTGTGGTAGATTTGACCTCCACCATAAAAACTCTTATTGGTATAAATAAGGATATGTGTGAAGCCGGTACGTTTGTTATATCGATATACGTAAAGCATCTTCGCCTATACAAAACGCATTCGCAACATGACTATAGTCTATGAGCTTATGGCTTGTGTTGTTTACTTTTCGAATTCATCGATCATCTTCATTTCAAGACATCCATCGAACTGAGTCAACTCTTCTAAAAGGGATATAACTCTTATTTACTGTTGTGTAAAATTGACTTTTTCGTGTCGGGTTGTTAGAAAGTGTTCCTGAGAAATGTACTGACGTTTGAATCTTGTTGATCAAGATTATAGAAATGTAGTTTGGCAGAGTATGTTATCTCCCTTTACCAGTGACCCCGTACAGTGTTGGATTTCGGTACATTTGTTATCTGTTACGTTTTAGATGGCGATTTACTTCAATACCCATTGAAAGGACCGATTTCATTGAAAATAATATTCCATTGTGTTAGATAATAGAGTGGGGGTTTTATGTGTTGTCAATGCATTTGTGATAATAGTGTTGAATATTTATTTAACAATTGTTGAGATATTTGTTTATTTTAAAACTTAAACAAATTCAAGTACAGAATAATTAGTAAATACCAATAGGATAGAAAATTTTACTTCTCTATCACTAATATAAACCCATAATTACGAGAAGGGCTATAAATGTACGACAGTCATATGTTTAGTATGCCGCATTTCTATGGGCATCCTCATACACACTATGCTCAGGGAAAATTTGGGATTATTAGTTAGAGACGGATAAAGAGATAAGAATTAACACTAAAGTGAATGAGATATCTTAGGTGCTCTGTTTCCTCCCAAGTTATTCCCCCTGCTTATTTAGTTATTTTTTTTCTTGTTTCCCTTCTCATCTTGTGGTTTGTCACTTTTGTCCTTGATGTTTAGGATCTATCTAAAGTGTATTGAGACAGTCGTGCATTCAAGTAAAGGACGTTTAGACTTAGCCCAGAGAATACTCTAGTTAGTAATTATGAGTTGTTCCCCCCGCTGGGGTTTTCTATTTCCCTTCTATGATCTCGGTGTTTTTTAATATTATGTGATTGTTGTATTCATTGCTCATTGATGCTCATTTTCTACCCTTTCTTTGTTATATCATGGTTATTTTTCATGGTTGTTTTTTTTAATAATTTAACGACTGACAAATGCCGAATTATGAGAACATTTTACAATTAAAATAATTTATAATATAAAATTGTACTGGGTTGTGTTTGTCCTCGTTGGTCGATCAGCTGCTGTAAAATGACCTCAGCACTGCTTACCGACATGATATACAAAGAAATTCATAAACCCGGAATTTCATTGGTCCACCACATTGGATCGCGATTAACAACTATCTATTAAGAGGATGCATCACTGACAGTTGGAATTCGAAATAAGAGTAGGGCGTAGTGCCACTGTCAGGGAAAAATTTCCCTCACAGTACACTGTATGGCGTATGCCCGTTTTCATTAGCCCAGCCGGAGCAGAACAGTAGAACGTTAAACCGAATTTCATTTCAATTCTCTATTGAGAAGTTAAAGGTCATTAATCGCTAAATCTTAAAGGCTCAATACCACTCTTGTTGTAACTGAATAATCTTTATTCTGGTCAACAAATTGTACTATTTTACAATATTCCAATTAATTGATGATACAAATTTCATCTTAATACACCTAATTTAAAAAATTGGAAAAATTCAAGTAAATGATTTGAAAAGCCTAACGTAAACCTTTTCAAATGTGACTTGGATTTAAAAATATTTTCGAACCCTCTGGACAAGTAAAATAGGATGTAATGGATAATTTACACAAAAAGTAGGACACTTAAACATCTAATACTTAGAATAAGGCTAATATTTATTTACTGGAGCTGTCAAGCCAGCAAGAGTGTTATTGTCCCTTTGGTGGACTTTCGAGGAAAGCAAGACAGTGCAAGGCAAATTGTGTGATCTATGTCCAGCGTTTTTGTGGGGTCTATAATTAATATAAAAACAAACACCAAACAAGCAGTGATGCATCTATCGATTATAATAAATAATGTTATCTTGATTAGAGCTATGTCGCTAAAGTGAATGGTTTAATCCCTAGTGGTGTCTAATAGGTTCATTTTATAATCATTTCCATTAAAAATATTGTAATCTATGTGATCTGAAAAAAAGTAAAAATGTTTATCAAGCGTTTGTGAAATTTCAATAACAACGTTCCGGCACATTTCCGAACTTTTGGATTTATCATGCCCACGATGCTATCTAGAAGAAAAACTTGTTTAATTATAAAAGTTTCTTAATGTATCTTTAAAAGTGTGTGTCGACCCAAACTAATTTGCCATTTCCTGCTTTGCCATCATTTAAGGAGAACAAGAAATTGCCCACGGCCTGTACTTGTAAACTCTATAAGTAACTTTACTTTTTTTGTACCGGTAACAAACAAAAACTCGCATTACTGCCACTTTCTAAAATCTTAAAAGCCAGCGTTTCTGCGTTTTGTAAACTTATGTTTGTTGAAAGAAAAATGTAAACGAAATGCATGTCATCGATCATCTCCCTTGGCATTTAAATGTCAGATCTCTCGTGTAACAACATTTTAATAGTACACGATATTCAATGTATTTTAATATTGATCAGTTATGAAAATCCATGGATATGTGTACAACTAGGACTACTCAGACCAATCAAGTAAACCAAATGCCTAGGATATACATCAATCACGACATCGAAATGTCAATGACTGCACAAGTTCACTGTGGAGGATACCAAATTAAGAAACAAGTATTTTATTAGTTTTCGAGATAACACGTAGTAGGTCCTCTGTCCCGCCCCATCCCACTACTAAAAATTCCTACGCGAAAACGAGTTTTTGAAACAAAATTGATCCATATGTTAGTCCCGAAATGACAATGTATTGAGTGGACGCTAAACAGCATTTTCGTTTAGCGTCCTGATATCTCACTGATAATTTCGTTGAAGTCGAAAAGTTGTTTCATGAGGTCATGAGAGGGTATCTGTTCGAAACGCACTATTCATAAATTAACAATGTATGCAATGTCTGATGGTCCACGTAGCGAAGACTTTATTTTAATAACCGTTTTTAAAGATTCCATGACACTTCAATAGACATAATAATATAAAATATAAACTTGAACAATTTTATTTACAATAAATGTCTGTACAAATCAACAAATATAATAAACAATAGCTGCTCGTTAGGCCCATATGGTCACATGACATGACACAACACAATCTCTAAAACATCATATTCTTCTAATGCAAACAAAAGTAAATCATATCATTTATGTATGTATTTATCTATTTATTTATTTATTGTTATCGATAGTAAATCTACTTGGACGGCCGACATACGACTGGCAAGTACATGTTTACTACTATTAAAGTCTCTGGTCGTCATTTGGGGGATTGTTAATCCTTTACAAACTACAATACTGTTTAAGTTGATTCTCTCCAAGGAATATCAGTCCAAAATTGATTCAGTATTTACTAAGATATGATGAATTGAAAATTTACAATTTACAACATTCGACATCAACTGCGACAGAATATATATAGGATAGAGTCAACACAAGCCAGCGCCATCTGTGATTTTCGATTAAAGCTTTTGATTCGCCTATTTTTAATCAGACTGAATCCAATCTGGGAGAAAACCTAGCGCTGATAGTTTGATTTGAGTTTGTGTTCTTGATTAAATGTTAAATAATCAAATTGAGTAAATTTTAGCATGGATTTAGACGTGAAAAATGAGATGTTAACCGAAACAAGCAATTGACGAACAGCGACTTTCATACATAGGCACTGTGTGTATTCCTACCTTAGATATACTAACTTGACAAGCGCTAAAAACTAAATAAACTTTTCGAGTGATTTAGTACGCCTTGATCATAACTTGTCAAATTACGACAGTATTTTGTATAACGTGCCACAGGGATACTTAATTTGATTTCAATGGGCCCGATATTCGATATAATGACACTCACGGCCCAATTAATTACTGAGGGCGTTATTGATATTGTAATGTCTGAGGTACCATATGGATTACTCTTTACTTTTAAATGTTAACGCTATTCTATTCCGAAAAATAACATCTTACATTATATTTAATATATTTTAAGTTCTTTAGTAAGATCTCTGCCACAGTTTGATATGCTTGTCATTTGGGATAATCGTTATGAACATGTTCGACACATAATTTGTTTTCAAAATTGGCCAAACATTCACGATAAGAATGATTTTGAATTTTTGGCAATCTTTCAGAAATATGTTAAAGTAACATGAGCGGAAATGGACAAAATGATTGGTATAATTTATTTGGAGATGGTAAACTTGTATTCCCTGAGGTAGATCAATTATCATAAATGCTGTAATTTTGGTAGATGTGACTTGTGGCTACATATAGGATTTTCTACTCGTCCTGTTGGGATAATGGATACGGGGTCGACAACATTACTAGAATGTAGTAATAGTTCAATCTATGCAACTTAGAAAAGGGTTCAATGACCACCACTGAAATTAGTTAGAGTACGAGAACGGAAACGAAAATTATAGCAAAAATTTGTGTAAATGTGCTGTTTTTCATAAATTAAATAATCAGAGGTTTCCAATCTCCGTCCATAAGAACTGGTGGATCAACATTGATGATGAATATTGTTTTGTTTCTTTACATTAGAAGTCCATAAAAGTAGCATAAAGTCCGTTAAAGCTCTTCGCCAGTATAAGCCGGAAATATGCCGCATTATTTTAATAAAAATATCGTAAAATAAGAAAGTTATAGATAATACCTCTTTTGTAGATAACGAAAGGAATTTCCTGAAAGCATTTTTAGTACATTTTTGTCTGTACTCCTTCCCTTCATAGTATTTAGTCAATTTATAAATTTTGATGTAAAGATAAAATTAAACTCTGATCATTTTAAATATTTTGATATTTTAGTACTAAAAGGTTCTATATAGACCTATAGACCATAATTGGAAGTCCAGTATCGGATTTTACTCAACGGCGATAACCACTGGCCCTGGTAAATTGCCACTTTTGGTAAAATAACGTTGCCAACCAATAACTACGAATAAAACTGGTTGACAAGTCTGAATTTCGATATAATTATACTCATAGTGATTGCCTCAAGAATTCCAGCAAGTTTGAAAATAAGATCTCAAACATTCTCACCTATAGTATATTTACAATGTTTCAGTGACAGGGGCAGTAACTCAATGTGCGACTCTGAATTTCTCTAGGGTTCACCCTTAACTCCTTGATCTGTACAGTGTTTACAGTGTTTACAAGAATTGTCGAAGGCCTAACGGGGGTGGGGGTAAACCGACAGTGCCGACGACAATATACACTAAGATGAACTGGAGGCGTAAAAAACGTAAGCTTATCACGGTACTTTAATTTCTAAAAAGTAAAATTTACAAAGGAAATCACGTTGGCAAGTATACGACTCAAAACTTGGCCGTAACCATTGTTTAGTTTTCAGCTTTAAACACAACAAAGGCGATTATAATATAATTTACAAAATAATTGAAATTAACAAACACAAGAGCCCACATGGGTTTAATCACCCAGCCGTTGGGTTCGGTTATAAATATATTAGCAACTGGTATCTGTCCAAGCAACAATGTCTACTTTGGCTTACAAGTACGTACGTAAAAGTCAGCATTTCTAGAAACTGTAGCTCAACTGCATTTGAACAAAACTGAATAAGCATAAGCACTACCTAAGCAATATACTTACGTCAGGCTGTTCAAAATAAGAAGACCAAAGTTTCATAATTGTGCCCTAGCAGCAGTACGCCACCATACAACACGTAGGTGTATTCGTATTAATACACTGATTAACCTCGACTCATCACTACACAATAAATAAATAAATAACGTTACACGGTGCTGTCTTTCTAAGCATTGGACGATTTAATTATAATCTTGTCTTTGTTAACCTTTAGGACGACATTTTCATATAAATTATTCATCCCCTCTCCTGTAGACAATTACAATCTAAGTGAGTTAATTCACGAACGCTTTCAATCATAAGTTCACCTTTAGATTAGTGAACTTCGCTATTATCTAAAAAGTAAGTGTATGGTACACCACAGTAAATACAAACTCAATTATTTTATTCAAACGTTTTTAACCAGCTGCTGTGTTGAGATGAACTTAGGATTAATAAATGAGACATATCAGATCAATATTCATATCAAATACACGTTTAATGGCAAATTATCATCTAATTTTGCGTTCTTATGTTCATAATTTGGCAAGTCGGGGTAAATTTAATCTTTACCCCTGCAGAAATGTCACCATTCTGAGAAACATAAAGAAAATAGATGGTTTGAAAATAGAAAGATGGATTTAAAAAAGTTTAGCACTTCACAGTTACAATTGTCCAGCAGTTTCAACCACAATTAAGACATTATTGCAAACAAACATTGACGATATCTTAATGTCCCCATACATGTCAAATTACATAACATTTTTATATTTCGTCTAAAACCGCAGATGACAGAAATGGGATGGCTTTAAAACCTCCACCAAACGGAAACGTCTCCACACGAGACTAGATCGTTCAAAGGGGTGATTCCCTGTTACAAATCTATCAACACATAATTATTCGATTCTCAAGTCTTAACTTAAAAGTCAGCAAACGTTTTCATACTGCTTATATTACGTTCTTTGGTCAAACCAAGTCGTCTTCCATTCAGCAAAAAAAAAATGTAGTTTCCGAGCTAAAAGATCGTAAACCATAATTTCCCCAGGAAAGCAATATATCTAATCATAGCAAACACGCATCCGGTCAAAAAGTCTTATGGCACTTTCACATTTTTTTTCGACAATAAAGACTTATAAACAATTAATGACAAGGGGAGTCGACTAAAAGGAAATGACATGCCAGCCAATTTTTGTGTTCAGGTTTTCGCAAAAACACATACATTGTGAAACACTCGTCATGAAAGTCGTCTGTTGAAAGACGCCGCTGTTCATATTAGATTATCTTTTCCTTGATTACGTCAACAACCATCAAATTATGTCTCAAGCTATGACGTCAATATAATTTGGCTGGGATAGACATAGACTGTCTAAATGTCTATGTATTTCTCTCATTGTCATTCGTTCATGGGGTTGTCTTTTCCAACAACATAACATAACCTTATATACTTCTTCTGGACATCCACGTGGACGCTCCAGTAAGTGACCGTTCTTTATGTACTGAATAACCTGAAATACATGAAACAGGAGAATGTTTAATTAAATAAGTAGTATGAAACAAAATAATGAAAGTTCGCCCTGTAAATAAGACCAAGTAAAGATACATTATTTAAGATTTAGATAAACAGCTGGCTGTTCTAGCTATAATATTTCACAAATTGATAATGCAACATGAATATATTGAAAATTTTATACAAATTACTTTATTCTGATCGAAGTTATGACTGTTTGGAGATCGTCGCAACGGTTCTTGACAGTTTAACATTACATTTCTAAATCTCGCGGGTGTTCAAATTCATTTAAATCTCGGCCATCCGGCGTTTTAGAGAACGGATTATAGGCTTGTCGTGTAAATAAATATCTATATAATAGTTTATATAACATTGGAAGCCAAAAGACCTGCAACAGGAAGATTTAGCTCTTACATTATACATCTTTAAATAAATACAACAAGAAGTGATAATACAAGAAAGAAATTTATTAAAGCTTACCCTGTAAATATGTTTAATATAAAAGATTAACATTAGTAAAATAAGCAATAAATCTATAATACCATATAAACTAATTTAATTAAATAAATGACAATTTTAAGTACTAAAACAATAAAAGAAAATAATTAAAGCCTAGCCTGTAAGAATTCTAGAACTATTTTCTCCGCTTATGTGGCACCATGCTTGTATCGATGTTTGCGTAAATCAAAGTACTGGATACTGCATGTCATGCAAAATATGCGGAAACACAAAAGCAAATTTGTTTTAAATGATTTGTTTTGAAAATAATCTGACATACGCCGATCATTATTTTGAAATCGGAAAATTTTTTACTCAAAATAGAAATTGATGTTAACCTAATTATAGAATGAATGTTAACTACACATTTGCCGCGTAAAACTGGATGTAATGTATTATACATTTTTACGTTTTTAAGGTCTACTTTGTCTTAGAAATAATAAACACCCAAAAAAAAGGAATAATAAATGATAATAATTGAGATTCGAAATGGGTTTTTTTTCTTGTTTCATTGTAATACATAAAAAAGAAATTTGTATAAACATTCATCGTTTATGTCTATTTACACTATTATAGTAAGTGCAGGGGGACTGCACCACACACAAACAGTTACACAAAACAAATTTACGCAATACGCAGAAATCAAAAACAAACATACATATCAGTTTCAGTGAATTATGTTATTAATTAAAGGCGTATAACAATTCTTTGGAACGCTATAATGGTCAAAAATGGGTCTAAAAGCATATATTAATCCATATTCCTGAAGCAATGGCCCGAGAAATCCCTCTCTGGCCATCGCTGGATTGGCTTCTGATACTTGAGCTCTGTTTAAAGCGTAATGGTATTGTTATGCAGTTAGCTATTGGTTGTTAATTGGACTAGCTCTAATCAAACGAAGCACTGCGAGATATTAATGTAACAAAAGTTTATATAATGTGATTTACAGTCAATTTCTAAAACATGTATTGTAATTTCTGTTCAGCCCAAATTGAACGACCGTCGTTTGCGCCTGTTTTGTCTATTCTACACGTGTTTTTTATTATTTATTTTGTCATTTGTGTCTCAGTCAATTTCTATTACTTCCGCGTTGTTTTCGGGGATCTGGAATGGTTTGTTTTTTGGGGATTATACTGATTTTTTTTTTTAAAAAATATGTCCATTGTGTATTAAATACCGGATATAAGGGTTCCATATTTTCACGGTAATAACATAACATCGACATTGATAGGAATGGTCCAATATTGAATTATAATTCGTGTTTTTAATTTCGAATATTATAGATAATATTGAGTTATAGATTTAGCTGCTTTATGATTGGACATGTGTGTATATAACTTCATTCATTGTCACATCGTTAGAAAAGATAAAAAATCTCCCAATTATGGAATATAAATTCACTCATTATTCATTGCTTTGCTAAAAAGGGCGACAAAGTATTGTTTGTTTTCAGAAAAAAATATGAATGGTTCGTTTGTTGACATAGCTATGTTACACAATCATTATCTAAGATCTAAATTAAACTGGCATTATATAAGATTAAGATACAGAGCTGGCCGTTCTCGCTATAATATTTCAAAAATTGATAATGCAAAATGAAAATACATGTTTGTATTTAAAATTTCATTCAAATTACTTTATTTTGAGCGAAGTTACTAATGGTACCGGTCATTCGAGTCTTTGCCTCGCTTCTCCACTTTTTAATTAAATCATTAAATGGCCGAAACGTTCTAATTTACTTCAAATCCGAGCCATTCGATTGTATTGAGAGTTGATTATGGTCTTATGTTAATACATGTCTGTACCCTATATATCATGTATTCAATATACCTCGATTCCATTGAATACTGAAACGTTTCTTGACTGATTTAGATTTAGACTATTTTTAATATATATATATACATTTCATCGATGTGGTTACTGTATAGTTGAATTTTACTACATATGCTTGCATTCGTATTTCTTGTAGCATATAGCAGATCATGACCCAAGCTGACATTACACAATGGTTTCTTTGGGTTGTATTCCTGATTGTTTTCAAATTTGAGTGAAGTCTGTGTCACTACAGACCCGGGACTGTCCCGGAACTGTACAGCACAGTGGACGCTTACGGCTAGCCCCCCGGATCCATTCACACTTTTTGAATTGTTTGCTTGTTTGTGTTTTTCTGAGTATAATGTCTTGTCCTTGTATTTGTTTTTGTGCAAATTTTGTGTGGTGCAGTCCCCCTGCACTTACTATTATATAACATTTAAGGCCCATATAATATGTACTAGGAAGATTTAGCTCTTAAATAATGTCGGTTTAATGATTAGATATTTGGTCAACACAGGGGCATTTATTTATTTCATCAAAGAGATATTTTCACTTTCACCAAGAAAATATATGTAATTAATTTGTTAGTAAATATCTTCGTTTTTATTGACAAATATTTGAGACTGATGTCTTGGAATATAATCTGAACAGAGAGCCAAAAATAAGGCTGATTTTTCACGAACACTGACGGAACAATATGCATTACTCACCTCCATATTTGATAGTTCATACCACGGTTGTTTACCGTAAGTAAATATTTCCCATAATACAACACCAAAACTCCAGACGTCAGATTCTACAGTAAACGTCCGATATAGCATACTTTCAGGTGGCATCCATCTTATAGGCAACATGGCCGTCCCGCCAACCTGTGGAGGATATAAGCATTCATTTTCTAAACCATATTTAAGATTATACGCTTTTTTATTCTTATAGTAAGTATTATAATACACACAGTTATCCCTCGTTATGTCGAACGTAGTATAAAATAAAAAAAAAACATTTCATGCCTATAAGGTGATTTGAGTGATCGTTAATGAAATGTTTCCGAAATATTTACACCCTGTCCAGACTATAGTTTGCATAGTTTGGTTAAATAATGCACCCATATTCGTATCCTGGCACTTATTGGTCAGCGGGATCCCCGATAGATTAACGCAGTGATTCTCAACCAGTGTGCCGCGGCACAAGATCTTGATAAATGTGCCGTGAAATTATGAACCGCACACTAAGAAAATGCGAAAAACCACGTGATCCCACTTGAGTATTCACTGGTGTCTACATATAAGTTCCTAGCTGTGTAAACCTGTGTTTTTGTTTATTTAATTTATGTCATTCTAACCAATAAAAACTTCGATGTTCAATGACAACTTTAATCGAGTTCGACATAAACGTTTCATTTTTTCATTGATTTCAGTCAGTATGTCAAGCTTAAGAGAATGACCTGAGTTTATTGCATTAATAACATATTAAGCAATGGAAACATAAATTTAAGTATTTTTCATTCTATTGAATACGTACCCTATAATAATCTGTACTATAAACATCACGTGACATACCAAAATCACCTATTTTAACCAATAATTTTTCTCCAACTAAACAGTTACGTGTAGCGAGATCTCTGTGAACAAAATGCTGTGAGGATAAATACTCCATACCAATGGCTATCTGATTAGCTATATGTAGAAGTTGAGCCGCAGTCAATGATTCGGTGCCGACTGTTTCAGCAGTAATAAAAGAAGCATCTGGACCATGGCATCTAGTTGTTAAAAGAAAGTAACACATTTAGATCATTAAACATGGACATTGTGGGAAGCCATTATATTTAGAATTTGAAGGTACCAAAATGTATTGCAACATTCGTTCCATCTACCGATTGTTGATATTTTTGCAAGGCGCATCAAGTGCACCACACAGACTTCCTAAAGTGTGTTCTGTTCGGATGGACTTTCCATTTTCACAACCCGAAGTAGCACCTGTCGAGCTAACACGTAAAGTGATGCCAATCGTTAAGACGAAAAACAAAAGCTCCAACGGTGTAAACATCGGTGTGACATAAAAAAATCAAACAGTTTGAATTCCATGATCATCAGAGAAAACGCAAAATCTCCTACGATGTAGACATTGGCATGACGTAAACAAAACTAACAGTTGTAACTACATGACCAAATGAAAAATATAACGGCATATTTGTCTCAAAATGACCCAATAATTGGGTTCCATTTCCATTAATCTTTAATTGAATGATATATTTTTGTGGGTTAGAATAGGATAATCTAAGATTTATTTGACATTCACAAAATAGACTATAACTCATTGAAAAAATATCATAAAGGATGATTACTAGTAACGGATCTTAGAGTGTAGTCTATTACAAAAAGCAATTCTTTTGGTTTCTACAACTTCAAAAGTCGTATTTAAAAAGATTCGACGTAATTAAAAGCCATACTTTTTTTATCAAAGCTACAAGCTTTTAATGTTATGCCGCTTATACAATCTATTGAGGTTAATACAAGTCAAATGCGTGTCTTTAATGCACGGATTAATCATTGGCCTGACACATAAAGAGATGTTCTTTTTATCATAACTTTTTACAATATTATCAAAAGTTCTTTACAAATCGTACATCCACAGAACAGCTCTTTATTCAGTGTTCTTAGTTCTTATTTCTTAATTCATAGTCCTTAATTCTTATTTCTTCATTTGTTGTCGTATTTCGACATTTTGTAGCACCAGGGGTCTTCTGTCTGACGTGGAGAGCGGACTACACAAACCGGTCGCCACATCCTACATACGACCCATGCATCTTTTCTTACTACATATTTCTGTAGCCTTGTGATCGTCTAGAATTGGTCTCTAGATGTCTTTACTTCTGCTTCACGTTGTGTATTTACTTCTACAGTTTTCTTAAGACGTTTGTCTTACCAGGAATAACAATGCAACAGTTCGCTTCTACATTTTATATAGCATAGCCGAATACATGTATACAAGCACAGATTACAATACAAGCTAAAACCGTTTCTCAACCCTAGCCAGCCTCGCGGCTGTCTAGGAACTCAGATGGAACCTCTCTGGAATCTAATGGAAGTCTAACTTAAAACTTTACTATGATTTCTTTTATAAGACTCCTGCATATCACACACAGAAAGCCTGTTCATGGCCCTGAACCTGCGCAATTAACAATATGATTGGTTAAATTAAACCCAATGATGCAATTAGAATAATTCCACTCACGTGTAATCTGGTGGTATATTATTGACACATGTTTTGGCTAAATAGTTCTTTTTATGTGTCAACTGTCAATTACAGTCTAAGTTGGTTTAGTACACACTATATATAATATATATGTGAATATGTGTGAAACTATTAATTTGCCAAATATATTAATTAATGAAATATAAAGTCATCTTATTTCTCTATTCTTTGCCTATAAATTTAAAAAAAGGTCGCAACGACTATATTGTTACAATTTGTACAGAAAAATTAACATTTGTATCTTAAAATCAATATTTGTTTTACAAATCAGACATTTGTCATATCTGATTTGTAGGCTAAAATGTATTTTTGTTTAACTTCATTGTATTTTAATATAAAGATAAAATTCATTTTAGAAAATCCAAAAATTAGCCTACATTTACATTTTATCAGAGAATTATAATGAAAAGCAAATCTCGAACAACAAATTTCCAAACACAAATCTCCAAATAAAAATCTTGCAAAACATTTCTCTAAAAACATTTCTCTAAAAACATTTCTCCAAAAACAATTCTTGAAATACATTTCTCGAAATTCATCGAAACGGAACATTATGACGACATGGACAGAAATCAACCTGACATACAATAAGTCACCATACAATAAAGGAGAATTGAGCAAGCATTTATAATACAATAAGAAAAATCGCTCGATGACCATGACTTTAGTGAAACCACGAGCGTGTTATGTTTCTATATATATAAAGAGCTGTTTGGTCTTCCATACAGAAAACGTGACCTTTCTTTCGATATTGTTTAAGTATTTCTGACCATACCTGCATAAACTATACGAATTATGAGAAATGAATAGAAGTCCAGTACCTGAACAATAAAGATCCTGAGTTTTTCAGTAAAACCAGAATAGTTATTTGTGATCCAGGCGATGTTTAGATGTGTATGAAAAATAGAATAATCTGTAGAGTTTATGATAAAACAAAATTCATCAAGTCAATAAACCGACTAGGCTAATGAAGACGGTCTTACTGAAGAATCTTGCATGGACCTAAATGGTTTTGTTCGCCGAATTGCGATTCCTATTCAATGGCATTTTGACCTTTCTAGTCAGTTCTATAATCTTCCGATCGAGTTTACGGATCAACAACGTGTTCTTCTTTTTGAATAAATATATATCTGGAATCTTTAAATCAGATCTACAACACTTAAAATATGTGGACAATGATAATGTTGTCCTTTAATATATATAAAGATGGATACGAATGCCTTCGTGCAGTCATTTTTCCAACAGTTTAGGGAATATTTCAAGGAATGATCCACAATAACGATGTAAATCAAAAGTCTTCTGAACGACAAATCTGTTTGTTGACTGTAATGGAATTTACAAGTTATAAAAACAGTATTCTCTTTTGGTGCTTTTATCGTTTTTTACATTTGCTTCCTTGTGAACTGCATTGGCATCTCTTTTAGGTGGGGCGGGGGAGGTGGATGGCCGAATGGTTAGCGCGTGCCCTCTGTATTATACGGTCCGACATTGAGTCAACTGGCGTGGTTTCGATTCCCCGATTGTACGTGACAAGGTCGCCTGTCCAACTTGTCCTCCAGCTGCTAAAGACCCCTACGCGCAAGCGAATTATTGAAATAAAATTGAACCATGTGTTAGTCCCGAAATGACCTAGTTGTGTCGAGTGGACGTTAAATCTCTCTCTCTCTCTCTCTCTCTCTCTCTCACACACACACACACACACATACTTTGAATGAAACACACACAACTAATTAAACAATCTTACCGAATATAATTATTCAAATCTCCATTTTCCATGTATTCAAATATCATCATCATTTCATCATTGTCAAGACATACACCATAAAATTTTACAATGTGCTCATGTTGTAAATTTGTTAAAAGTTCAGCTTCTCTCTCAAAATCTTTCTTAATAGAGTCAATTGAGGCATTCTTCAGCATTTTTATGGCCACCATACTGACTTCATCTTCTTTGATCAGACTGCAACAGGTCCCGAGATATACTCGACCAAACGCTCCTTCCCCAAGAGTTCGTAAAAACGTAATGGTCTCGAACCCAATATTTCGAATCGCTGTAAAAGAAATGGTGAATTGAACAGACCACTTTCAAGCTGTTAACCCTTTTTCCAGCTTTTTTCTATTATCATTTACAAGTAGATAACACCGACAATAAAGTGGGTCTTTTAAAATTACACCCATAAATCAAACATATAGCAGGCCTTCGAGTAAAGTCAGCTCTTGTGTTGTTTTCGTTCATTTCATTAACCCGTTTTACTTCAGATTTTGTAGTATGCATTGCTTTACATTAGTAATTATATGGTTATAGGATTCAAAGCTTTTGTAAATGTCGATTGGCTGGGGCATGGTACTGTCCTATTTGATGACGATTGCAACATTAGCCACATTAATAGTTGATTGACTAGTTCCAAGACGTATAGGTCTTGGTGTTTCTATCGGTATAGTATGTTAATCCGCGTAATAGTACGTCCATACATCAACATACGTTAAAGAATCAGCAAACCTAGTTCTGCTTTTAAAGTGAGCCGAGTTCTATTTGTAAGGTTATTTTACTCAAGTGTTATTTTTATTGACGCCAGTCAGACCTTCTTTGTATTCGTAGAAGGTAACTTGAGCGCAATTTTACATATGGGTATACACGCGCAATTTGCCGCGACGTATGTGTGAAATGATCTATCAATTTGCGAACAACAGGTTTTTATTACGTTAATAATACTTGGTGGGCGTAGTTTCTGTTCACTTTTTTGAATACCATCTTTCATGGGATTATTACTTGCACTTTTAATGTGTGCCCAGTAATCATGATGACGAGAAACATAAACTGGAACCGGAAATATTTGCCGTGACGTATGTGTGAAATGATCTATCAATTTGCGAACAACACGTTTTTATTACGTTAATGATACTTGGTCGCCGTAGTTTCTGTTCACTTTTGTTTTGAATACCATCTTTCATGGGATTATTACTTGTACTTTTGATGTGTGCAGTAACCATGACGACGATACACATAAACAGGAACCGGAAATATGTTCTTCTGGGGTTATAAATGTTAGATGTTTACGATTAACTACGCGACTAACCTGACACAGACTTATTAAAGATGTATTATGTAAGAGCTAAATATGCCTATTGCAGGTCTGTTCTCTAGCTTCAAATATACATCATTATTTAGACACACAAGTATATTCGCATGGCAATCCCATAATAAACTCTCAGGGCCTTCGAATTGTTGACATATTAAATGGATTAAATCATCCGCGCCATATAATCGGTTAAATTTAAAATTGACAATCGAGTCATCGTTTATTATGTAGGTCTTTAACAATCGAGACTATTTAGGATATATCTTGTCAAAACTTCAAATATCCATAACTTCGCTCAGTATAAAGTAATTTGACTGAAATTTTAAATATTTTATTCATTTTTTATTATCTATCTTGGAACTAGTATAGCTAGAAGGCCCGACTCTTTATCTAAATCTTAAAATATATCTTTAACAAGATTTCTGTATAAATGTTATTTTACCTGCTGAACCCGATCTACTTCGTGATGCGGATTTTTTGGTGTAATTTGGATTATCGACCATCATAGAATTTAACGGCATTGCCTCGCGTGGTACGATGCCATTTCGTTTAAAGCTATGATTTCTGGAACTACTTTCTGCATCGGCATTTCGTGAAATATTACCATGATATCGTCTGACGACCAGTACAATACATATAACTATTATAATTATTGTAATTATGACTCCGGCTAAAACTGAATAGATCTGAAATTGTAAAGTAATTCAGATCACAGAAGACGTTTAATATAAAAATAACCTAAATGAGCCTAGTATAATACAAGCATATATGAATAATGTTAATGTGTATGTTCCTATTCAGGGTAGGCCTATACATCATAAAAAACAGTCACCATATAAAAATAACCTAAATGAGCCTAGTATAATACAAGCATATATGAATAATGTTAATGTGTCACCATATAAAAAAAATTCATAATTATTATCACGCTTGGTGGTAATGTAAAACCCTAATTGCTACCACTGATGGCGGAGGTCTAAAATTCTAATTGTTGCCACTCTGGGCAGACATGTAAAATCTCAATTATTACCTCTCTTGGCAGACATGTAACAGCAGGTTTTAAACACAATAATCCAATTGAAGCGCTAACTCTATTCCAGTAATAATCAAATTAATGTATGTACATGCAAGTACAAAGAAAAGGTTGACTGATTTGTGGAGAGTTTCGGTAGTTTTGGGTAACAGAATAATGCGAAAAGTCTTACAATGTTGGTATCTCCAAACACGTCATTTTGTGTTTCTTGGTCTACAATTTTCGTTTCTTGTGGATTTCGTTCGTCATTTTGAAGAAGATGATTATTGGGGTTAAACTGTGGGCTGGCAGCAGGATACGTGCTTGTTTTATCTTTAAAAAGTGAGAGAAAGAGAAATGGGGTTTAACGTTCACTCGATACAAACTAGGTCATTTCGGGACTAACACATGATTCAATTTTATTTCAAATCGGGGTCTTTAGCAGTGGGAGGAAACCGGAGGACCCTGAGAAAACCCAAGGGGTTGGGCAGGCGACCATACTCCTTATCACGTACAACCGGGGAATCGAAACCACGCTAGTTGACTCAATGACAGACCTTATGATACAGCGCGCACGTGCTAACAATTGGGCCATCCATCCCCCCTTTAAAAAAAACAATGGTTATAATACATTAGTAATTATCTAGCTTAACATAATCGTCTGCATCTCAATCAAAATTATCCATTTTGAAGTAGGGAGAGGTAATGGTGGCTACCGTCATGTAGATAAAGTGAAATAAAATGGGGTTTAGCGTCCTACTGATTTGCACTTAACGTGCTACTGAAGATTTGCTTATCTCATGAAGTGTACTATAATGTAAATGTTTTGCCCAGACAGCGCAGTTTAGAGCTACTCTTTGTCGGAATCTACTACCATGGTTTGTTTTAGGTACACGTTAACGTGTACTGGGTACCTCCTGATTACCGCGACAACGCCTTACTCACTGTGCGACAGTGACGCTCATCATGGAGAGACCAAAGAGCTTATATAACTGCTGGTGCAGCTATTCACTTCCTTTAAAAACAGTTTTAGATAGCTGAAAAAAGGTCGTACTGTTGTTCTCTTGCATTTATCCCTAAACTCAAAAGCAATTATTCCCATTGGACTTACTTGCTGTTCCGTATTCATTATGTGCCTCAAGCGTATAATCGCCACGAAAGCTAGGACTATCCATCTCAAAAGTAAGACAACCCTTAATCACACCATATCTCGGATCTTCTTTATGATCATTCTGCATTCTGGACACGGCTAGAGGTTTACCATTCCTCAACCATTTTGTCTGCGGTTCTGGCCAGCCGCTAACTTTCCATCTCAAGCAGGGATAAAATTGATCTTTGTCCATATATAGTTGTTTTATGTCCGGGACATCTGTAGAATAATTTTACATATAAACGTTATGTTTTCCATAATTTACAGAACGAAAACTTGTATTATTTTAAAGCCAATACATGATCGCGAACTAATTTTGTTTCGGAATTTCCGCGCATGTATTTGTATTCTGTTCTGGACACCACATAGCATTGGAAATGTGACATTCACATGATAAATGTATTTGGGGTCACTCTTTGGCACTTATATGGGTCTACATTGTTATCATTTCGGTATATTAGTTGTATGTGGCTTGTAACTTATTCAAGGACGTGTTCATGCATTTCGACAAGCACCGCGCTCTAATTTATAATGTAAACATGATTTATTCTTTATGTTTATGTGTATTTCAAATATGGCTTTAATGTAATCAAGGAATTTAATCTTTCAGAAAATCACTGATGAAGAATGCCCTCTAAAGCTACACACCAACCACCACATCCGGCGCGTATCGAGCTGAGGACCAAAAATGGAGATTCGGGATTAGAATGACATGACCTACTCGAAGTATATAAATCATGCATCTGCAAGAACAAACCATCGTTTTGTGCATTAGCCAAATCTGTCAGTTTACGCATTGTTGAACGATACTGGCCAGGAATCAATTTACGAAAGCTTATCTATCACACAAAACACCAATTTATCAGTGAGATACGAAATATGTGAATTGATCTTGTCTAAAAAAAACAGATCGAAAATGATAAGCCTTACACGCAGTAACAGATTCAATCAAAATGTGGTCCTGAGCTGAGCTTTACCGTCTCGTCAACAACATATTGTGGTCAGTTCGATATGAATATATAGCCTATTACACGTGTAATACAAAGGGTGTGGGGATTTTGCCTGAGACCTACTTTTAGATATAGAAAAGAAGTAATCATCAGCTGTAAAGCTTAACACAAGGGGAGTAATTAACTAGGATTATATACCATATGCATGTTTGAATAATATATAAGTTGTGTAGCAATGAATGTAAATTTAATACAATATGCAAAGATGTGACCGTCATTCGGCCAGAACGCCAAATCATTAGTTACAGTGGTGATAACTATCAATCTGGGAATAAATATATACTGCGCGCCATGGAAAACGCATCACTTTTTTTCCCAAATATTTTATTACTAGGTGGTTTTGTATGTATAATATTATGCAATACTATGAACTATTGTTTCACACAATGCTCCCAAACGCAAAGAATATCGGCCCGTGTGCACAAAAAAAAATTGCACGAGATGCACATTAAAAACCCAATATTCACGTGCAGCATTGTGTGTGAGCCCTTTAAAAGCATGTTTTCAACTTAATGTGCAGTACATGAACTGTGAAACGTCAATCTGTCGTAATTTGTTGTTGGACGTGTGAAGGAATCGAGTTAGAGATGCCGAGACTTACTGAAAATCAACGGAATGAAGCCATGGGAATGTCCAGGGCTGGCATGTCTACACGTGATATTGCCAGACACTTCAATTGTCATCAGTCCAGTATTGTAAGGTTGGTGGAACGTGTTCGAGTTACTGCATCAACACGTGACCGACAACATCCTGGTCCACAACGCGTTACATCCCAAGCTCAAGACCGCTACATCCGGGTCACTCATCTGCGTGACAGATTCCACCCAGCGACTCGAACAGGTGCAGCAGTCGTCAAACGACAAGGACCAGTAAGTGCCAACACCGTAAGACGTCGTCTAAGAGAAGTAGGACTCCGTGCACGACGACCTTATGTTGGAGCTATCCTCAGGGATCATCACCGTCAGCGGCGTTTGATATGGGCTCAAGGACACCAGACATGGAGAAGAGTAGACTGGCAAAGTGTGCTCTTTAGTTGTGTGGAGACGTCTTGGGGAACGTCTTGCAGACTGCTGCGTCTTCGAAACGAATCGATGGGGTGGGGGAAGTGTAATGGTGTGAGGAGGCTTCACATTTCATCACCGGACCGCCCTACACATTTGCAGGGGTCGCGTTAATGCTGTAGCCTACCGTGATGATGTCTTGCAACCAATTGTTGTTCCGATGTTTTGAGCGCACCCACAACTTCAGCACTTCCAACAGGATAATGCACGTCCGCATGCCCCTCGTTTTAGTATGGACTACCTGGCTGCTGACAACATCAATGTCTTGGACTGACCAGCCATGTCTCCGGACATGGCACCGATAGAACATGTCTGGGATGAGATTGGACGCCGTCTGTATCGGAGACCACAGATGCACACCATTGCTGCTTTAGAAGCTGCCCTTGTCCAAGAATGGAACAATTTGCCCCGGGCCTTCTTTCAAACATTGTTAAATTCCATGCGACGTCGCTGCACAGCGTGCGTAAGAGCCCGTGGAGGACACACGCGCTACTGACATCTGTGTCGTACTTTTGGTTTTGACCCCTCTGACTTTGTACCGTTGATTACAGATTAAACATTCATAAGTGTACAAATGTGTTGTTATTGATGTGTTCCCATTTTAATATTGTTCACAATAAGAAGCAAAATAAATAAGATATGTTTACAGGATCATTTTGTTATACGAAAAACTAAGTGATGCGTTTTCCATAGCGCTCAGTAGATAGGTGGCAGACATTTGTTTTATTACAGAAAGAGAGTTAGAGAAATGGGGTTTAACGTCCACTCGACACAAACTAGGTCATTTCGGTACTAACATATGGGTTAATTTTATTTCAATAATTCGCTTCCGCGTAGGGGTCTTTAGCAGTGGGAGGAAACCGGAGGACCAGGAGAAAACCCGCGAGGTTGGACAGACGACCCTACTCCTTGTCACGTACAACCGGGGATTCGAAACCACGCCAGTTGACCCAATGATAGGCTTTATGATACAACGCCCACGTGCTAACCATTCGGCCATCCAATCCCCCGTTTGATTACCGATCATATACAAAAATATCAGTCTTGGTATTTTAGACAAAAAATAAGTTTCGAAATTTATTTAAAAACGCACCCGATCTGATCCTAGACAGAAATATCTCTTTGACGTAACATATAGTTAAAATCGAACTACCCCTAAATAGAATGCATCGTAACAACTGACATGGCCAAGTCTAAGGTAGGTATATAAGCTTATTAAGATTGGGTATAACTACACCTGACTATACGGTTTGTACATGCCCAGGCAAGATCTAAATCTACAGCTGTAAAATACCATTTTTGTCTCAGTGTCCAAAGGGGAAACCTAAATCCGTTTTATCTTGACGTTGAATGTTTTCCCCACATAAGGAAATCTATTCATTTTAATATTATAATACATGTAATTGATACCAGAATTCAAACGCTGTCGTTGGACCTTACTGTATTGTAAATATAAACGACTAATTTAGATTTGAAACACCCGCATATAATTTTAATTCATCCCATTAAAAAAGCAACTCTTTAATATATAAGAGGTATACAAGGACAAATGACTTACGATTGATTAATAAGACTGAGCTGTTGCTACATTTTGTTCCTGCTTTTGGATCATAACAAGTTAGCTCTCGACCATGGTCTTCAAGTGTAATATTTATCAGTGTTAAAGTTGAAATATCATCAGTCGACGTTGATATTTTGTATTTTGATTTAATGTTTGTAGTATTCCAGGTAACTATTGATGATGATGGTAAACCAACAGATGAACAGTTTATAGTTAAACTATCTGATTGATTCACTGTATAACTACTGTTCTCTATATGCACAATAGGTTTCTCTGAAATAAAACAAAACAAGGTAGATAAACAAAAAACTGCAACTCCACCACTGCCTTGCTTAAAATCATTGTAGTTTTAGACCCTCTTGCCACTAGGGTCAGTTAAATATATAATTCTACATGTTTCGTGTTTTTAATATATACTCTTCAAAAAAATTAAACGTAACACACTAAAGAAAAGATACACTAAACAGTAAATCTTATGCAAGAACCGATAGGAAAGCAAACATGGATAGGATAAACCAGCACGCGGCAGTTTTCATCAACCCTTCCTTGAAGTGTCAAATTTGACAATGAACCCCTCCCACGTGTATGGCGCTATTGTGTGTCGCATGTAAAGCTCAGTGGTTCTGTTGGAGCGATAAGTTCTTCATCTGTGAACACACTCTCAAGGCATATCAAGTGTCCATGACTATTTATTATATGACAACCTGCATAGGTATTTGCATTTCAATATCCCCTACTTTTTTTGAAGAGTATACTATTTGTTAATTTATGTCGAGAATGAATTTCCGTGCATAAAGAAATACGGTGCGAAATGATATGTCTTTAACTGGAGGTTGCGCTATCTTTACATTTTGGTTATTTTCAATTGTCATATTGACACACTAAATTAGCTACTAACGATTCTTGGTTTTTGGTGGGATTATTCATTTGGGCATCACTAATCCAGGCGAATTCCATCCATTTTATTCTCAACCTGCATGGGTATTAAAGCGTTATATTTGCCATCGCTAAACTTGTGTCGAGACCAATTTAGCTGATTTGCCACTGACCAGGAAGTAACGACATATACTCATAGACGAATCATTTCAGCTCAAATATCACAAATACACTCGCACTCGAGGGGCTTACCACATTTTGCTGACAATTTCTCAGGAGTCTTCCTCAATCCATTTTTAAATCTTGGTTTTAATGGATTATATCTAGTCACAGTCGGTGGTTTCACATGGTTTCTGTATTGTGTTGTCTTGTCTGTAATGAAAATTAGTAATTCATAATTTCCTATTTAGTGAACGACAGACAGATTTTCATTATCAATTTGATGAATAGATTTTAAACACAATTTTCAGTTAGTCTGATGTACAAAGTGTCCGAAATTGGTCACTTTGTCATCTTTTTGACGGCCATCTTTAAAAATGGCCAGTGTTTTTTCTTTGCGAAACCTTCAGAACTCATCAAAAAGTTTACCTATTGATATGTAATATGGTTCAAAATGTTTATAATACATTTCGGCATCTGTTGATGATTGATTCATATCGATATCGTTTAATAATATTACTATCAGTTTCCAAATAAATGATAAATCTGAAAAAAGTGACATTTTCGATTTTATTTCATGATTTCTGTTAATAAGTTTACTAAGAAATCATGTTCAAACCCATCTTCAATAGAAGGTTTGATCTCGCTTCAACTCCGTACCGTACATCTTATCAAGCCCTTCACGTAATATACTGCATATTTCGTCACTAATTTCGATTGGCTACTGGACCAGCCGATGAAAATATCATAGCAAATACCAAGTCTCGCGCATTCCAGCTAAAATGTCTACCTGTGATAATTGAGTTGCAAATTTCATGGTTCGTTCAATGTCAAGGTTTCCGTGGAGGTCGCCATGTTTGATTTGAGTGTGTTTGTGTCACAACCTCTAATTTGACAACGCTTTTGTTCACGTGCCAGTGGTAAAGAGGAATAACGTACCTATATGTTCGTGAATTTCAGACGGCTAGATGTTATAAAACTCGCGGTCGTTGCTTCGGAAACGTGGTTCAGAAATTATCTGTTTGGTCAACTAAAGTGATTATTTTACATTGAAATAACTGAATTTATTATTTGATTCAATTTTGCGGTTTGTGTATTTATCCTAACGTACACCAGGTTTAGCCTTCGTCGCTGTTGTCTGACTGCACCTCATCCTCATCTTGCATGTTCGTGCAATTCTGTAATGTGCATGCTGTTATGCAGGGTAATTCAATTCTTACATATGGACAGTTTCATCGCAACGTCTAGGGCATGTACAGGCCATCAACTCCAGAACAGCATCCGGTGCTGGTGGTCCTGCACACCCAAGCATGTAGCACTCTAACTAATAAATGGAGTCAAGGTATCGAGTTCATTTTTGTTATTTTTGGAACATGGTGATAGTGTGCTGCAGGTAAGGGAATAGTTGGAAAGCAAGGCGGAAAAGCGTTGAAAACCACGGGTATAGAACACTCGGCGAACCTTGCCGACGAAAGTAACATAAAGATGTTCTAATTTGTTGTCAATATCTAATCTATCGAAAGCGTTCAAGTGACCATTATTGTGAACACCGGGGTTTCGACGGAACGGGATTTAAACTCGATTTCATAATTCTCCACCCCGCTATTATTGGGCATGCGGTCGGATATTGGGTGCTACAGGATTCCAACAGAAATTAGATTTACAAGTAGTTATGGTATGATGCACACGACAAATCATCCTGCTGTTACATATTACATATTTGGATATATTAGTTTGATAAAAGCCACAGCACCCTGGTGGAAACGCCCCATGACATAAAATCTAAATTGATGCTTATGTCTACTCCCACATAGAGAACACTGACTTCGTACTTCAATAAAGTACATAGAAGAAAGCCTTTAAAACCATGAGTACTATTCAGAGTAAATCTCAAATATAGCACAATGCATGGCATATGTTTGCTTTTATTATGCCCGTTGGGGCTGAAAAGTAAGACGTTATGCTCCATTTTATTTCTTTTTACCTTACTGTTGCATATAACAAATAAAACATATATACTCAAGTATTACGCTTACTTATCAAAAGTGCGGTCGTTTGGTTTATTGCGTTATGATTTTTTGAAGGCTGAGACTCAGGTTTAAAATCTGTATAAGCAAACCGGTAATAAAGATGATACATTTACAATAAATTTAAAGTAAAGACATTTCAAGCACTTACTAGTTTTTCCAAAGGCATTGAATGCCACTAACGTATAATCTCCATAAAAATTAGGACTATCCATTTCAAAGGTCACTCGTCCTGTTACTACACCGTAATCAGAAGAATCCGTGTGGAATTTCTGTATTTTTGAAGGTTTTGGAGGTATGCCATTTCTCAGCCACTTCCTTTCTGGTTCTGGCCAACCGCTTATTTTCCACCTCAGACATTTAATATAGGCCTCTTTGTCTAAATAGAACTCTTTTATCACTGGGGCATCTGTAAATATACATAATGTATCCATTTGGGGCAATATGTAATTAGAATATCGTCAATACAATACATCACGGTTACATGTATTTTTATGTATTATAGTCATATACAGTTTCTTTTATGCTGTGCCAGTTTGCGCAAGGACACGTTTTAGTTTCCCCTTTTATGCAAACTACATAATCATAGCTAGAGGTTTGTATTTTACGCAAAAATTAGACACTTTGTACACAAGGCGATTGGCTTTCAGTTTCTATTTTACCCATCATTATGACTCCAGGGAGCGACGGTTGGATTTCAGAAGGTAATCAAGTAATTCAAGGGGCAAAGACGATAAACCGAATCACCGCCTATGTTCTTTTATTACTAAGTATATAAAAGAAATCTACTTTAAATGCGTTGTAGACATGTGTAATTGAAATGAATTGTGTACCAGTCATCTTATTTAAATAAATTCCGTATTTTTCACCGGTACTGTATTTAATTATGTTTTTGTCTGCAGCATGAGAAGTTTCCTCATGAGTTTCAAATATTATGTTTGAAACCAGGAACCCTCATTATGTGGATTTTACTTTACATGTAGATCAAACGGCAAAGACAGACATCTATTCGTACATAAAACTTAATCATATCAAATGCCGCTTTCATCATAGTTCGAATTTATAAATGCAGATATAAAAAACTGGGATAATGATCAGTTTTTCAAGATCTATCAGAATGACTGGATATTTAACAGACTCGCTTGAGGCATTGTTTTATTTAATATCCTCTTTAATTTAAGAACAAAATGGCTAACATGATATTGTTATTCTACTCAAAGTATTACCCATGTATCAGTTGTTTCTGTCTGTTAAACCATAACAAAACAAATCGCAATGCGCCGGTTATATATTTCTTATTCTGGGTGGTTAGGAAATATCTTTAAGATGAGCACATTCAACTTTTCATGCCCGTGGCAAAATGGGTTGAGATGTAAAACTTCACTGGACCCGATATCTGAACTACATAATTTGACAGTTATTAACAGTAATGTCAAAATTATCTAATTACAGAAACGTCATGTTTGGAAACAGATATCACTTACAATTTAAGGACAGTATACAAGGATTTTATAAAGTTGTTTCTCAATCCAACAAACGAATATGTCAAAGAAATTGAAAGAGTTTGTTTTAAGTTTATTTTGAAACAAAATAACGATAAATCAAATGAGATCAAAGATATAGGTGTAAAAATGACAAACATTAATACAAGCTGGATAAGGCTCAATATACAGTTTCAAACTTTATGAAAATTTTATTAGTATATTACAAACTTACGGTTCACCAAGAGAGTTGTATAACTGCTGGTTTTGGCCACCTCGTTTTCAGCGTAACACGTTAACTCTCGACCATGGTCTTCAAGTTTAATATTTATCAGTGTTAAAGTTGAAATATTATCAGTCGACGTTGATATTATGTATTTTGATTTAATGTTTGTAGTATTCCAGGTAACTATTGATGATGATGGTAAACCAACAGATGAACAGTTTATAGTTAAACTATCTGATTGATTCACTGTATAACTACTGTTCTCTATATGCACAATAGGTTTCTCTGTAACGAAAAAAAGATAATTCATACAACGCACCCCCTGAAACCGAAGTATTTAAAGGACAACATCATCGGTCAAAATGTTTTCTTATATTTAATGCCTGCACACTAGGTCCAAGTAATTATATATACATAAAGAACTGCGACGGACATCGTCGGCCCTTTAAGACACTGCTTGCCCTGAAATGGTGTCATGAGCCTTAACCAGGACTCAGGACATTAGGGACATAGTTATTGTTTAGCCACACAGCAATTTACGTATGAAAATTTTATAACATACAATTTTAACACACAAAATATTACTAATTCTAAGAACTAATATGAGGACACTTTTGTAGAAACCCACCATAAAAGCATAACGTTTAAATGTAGAAACCCGCCTTACCGCATAAATGTAGTCGTCTTAACATAATGTAGAAACTCGTCTTAACGTATAATGTAGAAATCCGTCTTAACCAATTAATGTAGACACCCGTCTTAACCAATTAATGTCGAAACCCGACTTAATATTAAAATGTAGAAACCCGCCTTAATGTTTGAATGTAGAAACTCGTCTTAACATTTGAATGTAGAAACTGGGCTTAACGTTTAAATGTAGAAACCCGTCTTAATGTTATAATGTAGAAACCCCTCTTAATGTTTAAATGTAGAAACCCGTCTTAGTGTTTAAATGTAGAAACCCATCTTAAAGGCTCAATACCACTCTATGTCCCAATCTTTATTCTGGACAACAAATTGTACTATTTTACAATATTCCAATTAATTGATGATACAAATATCATCTTAACACACCTAATTTAAAAAATTGGAAAAATTCAACTAAATGATTTGAAAAGCCTGACGTAAAGCTTTTCAAATATGGCTTGGATTTAAAAAATATTTTTGAACCCTTTGGACAAATAAAATAGGATTTAATGGATAATTTACACAACAGGTAGGACACTAACACATCTAGTACTTAGAATAGGCTATTTTTTATTTTCTGGAGCTGTTAAGCCAGCAAGAGTGTTATTGTCCCTTTAACGTTTAAATGTAGAAATACGTCCTAGTTTTTAATTTTAGAAATCCGCCTTAACGTCTAAATTAATGTTGGTATAGTTGGTAAAATGGTTCATAATAATAAAAGACAAAACACAAATGCTCACCGCAGTTTTGAAATATTTCGTTCCGCAAAGGCTGGGGTTGATTATTAACATCTAAACAAGTAATGTTTGTATTTTGCAATGGTGAGGGTTTCTCTATCTGTACAAGTTGTAGCCATCGTAAACCACACCCACATTTAAGAGGATTACCATGCAAGTCTCTAGAATTAAAAAAAAATACATATAACATGGATATGAATTTTAAAAAATGGGTATGGATTTTATAAGACGGATATGGATTTTACAAATGGATATGGAATTTTACAAAAATTGATTATTTTAACAAACATATCTAAATAACTTCCCGTCTTCATTAGCCCAGTTTAGAAGCAGAATAGTAGGTATGTCTTTATCTATCAACTTTTCTATTCCTAGTTTCTGATCAGCATTGCTTTCAAAACATTTACAAGAATACTAAAGGTTTAGTTCATAAAGCCCATTGAAGTGCAGTCGAAATCACAAATTCCGAAAGCTGAATTCGATGCAGTATTAGCAGGCCAATACTTCATGATTCTAAATACTCAAATTAATTTCAGTCAGTTTTTCTGTTGTTTTACAAAGTAAATCAAATTGGTGATTTAACACTCTCCAAAGTAATAATATTCAAATATCATTCCTGAATTCAAAGAACTAAATCCAAATAAAACGTAATGCATTTATACGCCTGTTGGGTATTTGTACATATATATTTCAATTGTGTGCGTGTGTAGTGTGAAAAACAAATTCTCAAAAATAGCCTCTTTTCAGATTCCATTCAAACTTCATCTAAATTTAGATTCTAAAATCAATTATGTGTTATTAGAACTATACACATTATTTACTTCATGTTGGTATAAAGTAATTCCAGATAAAACCACAAGCTCTATTTTCGCCATGCAAATATCGTATCTCGACAAATTTGTTCAAACGTGTCATTAGTGCTCATAGTGGAACGAGCGGTGAGTGAGTGTATTGTAAGCGTCTTCTTAATTTGGAATTATATTAAGTCTCAAAGGACACTTTTTTAAATTATACATTTTGATGGATCTGTATATCGCATTATTTCTCTTTCAGAATAAGGGGATTGGGTGGTCGATTGGTTAGCGCATGCGCGCTGTATTATAAGGTCTGTCATTAAGTGGTTTCGATTCCCCGGGTATACGTGACAAGGACTAGGGTCCTTTTTTTCCTGGATCCGCCGGTTTCCTCCCACAGCTAAAGACCCCTATGCACAAGGGAATTATTGAAATAAAATTGAACCATTATGTTAGTCTCGAAATGACCTACTCTCTCTCTCTCTCTCTCTCTCTCTCTCTCTTAGAATAAAAAAATAACACAAATCTATTGTCATTGCAGTATGTTTTAATACACCACCTGGTTATCTGTGGGAGTTCTACCTGTCTCCAATTTGTAATAGGTCACAAGTAGTAGACAGCTGGGTTTAATGAGTTTGTTACTCTAGGTTGAACACATCTTATAAAGATATTATTTATACGTTTCAAATAAGCACCATTGAAATATTTCAGGGTTCAGTAAGAGTCATCCCGAGGCAACACAGCGGTATCTTTGTTTCTTTTTAAATTCACATTTTATAGTCCGAAGGCTAGCAGCCACTTTCCTTTTAAAATTGAAAAAATAAATGCCGAAAGATGTTATTTAGATAGTAATCTAGGTAAGAAGCCCTCCATGATCACGTATCCAAATGAGTTATTCTTCAAAGCTGACTGACGTATAGGACAGAAAATGGTAACGCCATGAATCGAAAAGAAACTAAAGGAAACTTTAGATGATGACTGATCGATTTGAATCATTTTAATATGCATTTTGCTAAGACTACTTTCTAGTGTCCGTGGACTAAATGTCAGCATTGTGGTGATGAAAAAACTTTATTTGGTTATAGGCTCTATTGGTATACATAATACTTACAATATTTTTAAAGGTAAATCAAGCAGTTTCCTTGAAACACTGTTCAATTGATTATTGTGTAATTTTCTGAAGAAAAATAAATAAGTTACATAACATAAAGACAATAAAAAGGGAAAAATTACTACAACACGTTTAGATTAAATTCCACGCACATAGTCACTCAAATTGATATAATTTATGTTTTGTTTGTGCTGTTCACTGAAACAGTTCCGCCCCATCATGGCTAATAGTACAATTGGGAGCTGACATATGTGGCAATATGTGTTTCTGTTTGAACTCGAGATTTTTAAGTTTCCAATGAACACTGTTCATTAGGTATTTCGTTAATTAATATATCGGAATAAGATGGTGGTAGGAATGTTTGCATGCATAAAGCAAAGTCCAAAACTTGTTGAATTTTGCTCAACTCTATCTATCGGAAACGCAAAATTTGGGGGTGTAGTTGAAAAGTGATCAGAACACTGGAATATCGACTAGAAAATTCCCGATTCGAATCCAGGCGTTGACCGAGAAAAACCTTTGGAAATATCCAAGTCCGGTCTTCCCTCTTGTGACACTGACAAAGAAAATATACCTAGTCCCCTGTGCGTTTAAAAGAACTCCTGGGGGAAGAGTGAACGGATACGCGACTGTTTGGGCAAGATGCTCCTGCCTCGCATTTATCTCAAAATGACGCAAACGGTATTTCTAATTCAATAGGGTTGCGTCTTATCCCACTCAGTTTTAAAATTACATCGATGACATTGTCCAGTACTAAAGTTGGTACGATAAAAAACATAGTCTCGATTATCCATTTTGGGATTTAATCAACAATGAGCGTTGAGCAGCAGATAGGATTTAAATCCAGTGAAACATACTAAATAACTCGGTGAATCACTTTAATCACAAATCACATCATGCTTTGAAATTGCCGCGAATCGATTGTGTGGGGAGATCGCAGATAAATCTGTGATTTGAGATACAAACATATTAATTTCGATACGGATTTTTTGTAGGTTTTCTTTTTTTCTTCTTCTTTTTTTTATGACCAAAAGTACAATCCATTAAATTCTTTAAAAAAAACCGTAGTCTGCAGAAGGTTTACAAAAAAATTGGACGGGCGCAGGTGGCGGATATATACTCTTCAAAAAAAGTAGGGGATATTGAAATGCAAATACCTATGCAGGTTGTGATATGATAAATAGTCATGGACACTTGACATGCTTTGAGAGTATGTTCACAGATGAAGACGGAAGACGCCACACAAAAGATTCTACAAAGGTAAAAGCACACAGTTACTTGTTTTTGGACTATGACTTAAAACTTACATGCTTTCCAATTTCTTGTTCTTCAAAAAGGCATCTCTTGATATTGTGGTTAAACGACTTGATTGTATTTCTCTGAAAGTGATTTACAATATATCTATACAATAATTGATAATAGAATATATATATATCGATATTGAAAAACACGGCCTAGTTCTGTTTCACCTTCTGATTACTTGCTGGCAATAATGATCTCTTTTATTTTCCAAATGTCATACTTTATTAGTATTGAAACATTAAATCACGACAAGTAATAAAGTTATCGATTACTAAAAGTAATTTTGATTTAGCACGGAATGGTATTTGTAAAGACGTAACATGGGCCGATCGGAGTGCACGTCCTGAAATATAAAGAGCTGTTAAACAATGTTCCAATGGCATTTTCTATGGTTGTTCAATTAGAGCCATTGTTGACCGGGTTATTGCCCTTCCTGAAAAAAACTTGATAACAGGCTATAGACAGCAAAACTTTTAACCACAGTTCATGAAACATATATAGTACGAATCAGTACACCGTGGTTGTGGGTCTTATTTGATATTTACAGGTTCAGTATTTCAAAATCTCTTAACAAGCTAAATATACTATCGTGTTTCTTTTAAACGCAATGGGTCCAGATTCCTATCAGTGTACCTATTGTGTATGTACTACGTTTCGACTGCTGGTGTTTTAACCCTAACCAGTTAATTCCTATTTAATATTTGAAACGAAGCCTTCTTTTTAAATTATAGCAGAAATCCATCGATTGTTCTTATATTGTCCCTGTTCCAGATTTCAATCAATATGGCATTAAAGGATACGTTTGGGAAAATGTCAAGAGTTTTAGTTTATATTTTCAGTTGTTTTGTATTCCAAACTTTTTTAACCTATAATCTTATAATCACATATCTTAACAGGGAATCATAAAGTGAAGTGATTTAGTGGTGTGATCTATCTGATGTTCCTACACATTACAGCCTACATAAGGTACTGGGGTTATGACCGTCTGTACTGTTATAATAATCATGATGAAATTGTGACAATTGATCAAGAATGTAAGAGAGTGGGTAGCAGTGTATTAATACCATTTGATCAACAAGGGGGATATTTCAATTTAAACATCCTTTTGTGAAAACCTGGAAAATCAAAAGGGGTCATAAAGGGGTCATATTTAGCGCCATGCTGAGCACATCTTAATATTAGATGACAACTTCAGAATGTGTACATGTTTGGTTATGTGGAGTTACTGTCGCAGACAATCTTTATACGCAACCCTTTTCGGCTAATATATAGAATATCCTAATCGAGAGACGAGCGTAGGGTATCACAAACCGCTACTCGCTAGTGATTGGACCGGTTAGAGGCTTTCAGGTGTAAGCTAGTGGTACTATCAACTTGCAGGTATGTAAACTCTGCCATAGAGACAAACCGGCTTACACAAAAGCCAATCAGTTATACGATCCGGACTTAAGCGTGCTTGATTAACAGTTATTACAACCTATAAAAGATATTTTATACATTTATGAAAATACTTACAATCTGATTAACGTATGATAAATAACAATATACTTTATAGATCTTAGAAATAATGGAAATTAGATATACATGACATGTAATATACCAAAATTTGCAAAATATAATTCTTTATATTATGGTTAATAAATTGAAATGAATACTATAACATGATAATTATTAGGAATGATTATATATGTATACGATTACTTATCGTTGCATTTGCAAATATAAATAATCCATAAATTCCTGGCTATTACACCGTTTATCCCGTAAAATAACAGAATTAAGTCCATTTTAGAATGCAATGGAATAAAGATCTCATCCCTAAATTTAATGGAACTTCCTGGCCATTCCATGGTTTATTCCGTAAAATAACCGAATTAAGTCTATTATAGAAGGGAATTTAATAAAACATTTTATCCCCAAATTTCACGGAAATTTCCTGTTTAATACTGAATATTCCATAGAAATACATAAAACACGTAATTTGCAGAAATAATTCACACTTTTAACACAATTTCTCGAAAAAAGCCATCGATTAACAGAAAAAAGGAGTTAAACTACGAAATTCGGCCACATAAAAATGGATATTTTTTACAGTGTGGGTAACAAATTAAAACTCACATGCTTTCAAGATTAATATAATCTTTTAAGTCGTCATCTGTTAACTGAGTAAAATCATTTTGGTTTGCTATAAATCTGAAAGTATAAAATGACAAGAGCATTTGAAAGAAATACTAAAAAATATCTACCAAAATGTAAGGACGTACCGAATAATGTTTGCCATCTAAATGAGAAAATATATAAAGAGTCAATTGGGATAGATAGTTGACAGCCTTTTAAAAAATGGCATATTTCTTTCAAGACAAAAAGGTTACAAGGAAGCAACTTAACACAATCAGTACACGCAATAATATCGGTGACTAAAAAAAAAAACATTTTATCAATACCAACTACACATAAATCTTGTTAATAATCCCCGATTTGCACAATACCGATAACTGCTACAATCACATAAATAACCAGATCAACTGAACTATTTTATTGACCTACAATATTGTTGGTGTTATCATTAGTTATCTTCGTTTCAGGAAACGGTATTAGACAATCTGTATTTGTTTTTTTTTTAAAGAACAGCGATCATTGAAACACCAACAGTGCGAAGGATGAAGCCAGTTATTGATATTGGGATTCTCTACGCGCTCATGTCTGGCTAGTGGCACCAAAAAATAATATGGACTTTGGGTGATCCTGCGCATTTCATAGTTGTAAATTAGATTATAATCCTAAACAATTGAATCATCGAGATAATGCAACTATGCAAAAATTACCGCTATGTTTCGTGAAATGAAATAGGGTTTAACGTTCTACTGTTCAGCTCCGAACTGGGCTAATGAAGACGGGCATACGCCATACAGTGTGCTATGAGGGTAAATTTAGCCCGGACAGCGGCACTACGGCCTACTCTTATATCGAATTCCAACTGTCAAGGGATCTTTTACGTGCACGCCAATGTGTACGCGGGACCTCGGTTTTTCGTCCCACCCGAACGACTAGACAGCTGTCCTTGCAAGGCCCTCCGTCCTGCATCACTGACAAGGGGGAACCACGCCGGAAAATCTGGATGAACTTTCTCGGCCTATGAAATAATGATGAAAATAAAACATCAAAGCATGCTTTATCAAATTTTTCATAATTCTTTGACATATTTTTATAATGAGACACGATTATCTACATCATTACCCAGTGAATTGAAAGAACAATGACCCCTGTCGTGCATCAATCTGATTAAAATACAGATCTATATTTCGTTTCGTTTTTTTATACTTTCGAACTATTTAAACGAAATGAAATAGGATCTGTGCTTTAACCAGATTGGTCGTACATTAGAAAGACTGCAGGACATCTTCAATGTCCTCATAATAATGAATGAAATAAAATATTTAAAAGCATTCGTCTAATCTTGCTTATCTCAAGACGAATGTCGTTTTAAAATATGACACAATTTCTGTACGACGTAATTCATTGTGGTTTTTTAAACGGAAAATTTTTCCATTGTTGTGATAAAGGCATTTTTTGGTGCAGTCTGGAAAGGTTTTCGGTTAGTTTCTATCAACGGTAATCGGCACTAGTTCCACGTGGTTTTCTAGTGTCGTGTCTTCTTTTGGGCGACATTGATGTGCCCGTAGAAGTTTGGCAGTTGGAATTCCAAATATAGTAGACGGATAAGCCGCTGCCTAGTTATAAATTCCTTCATAGCACTCTGCGCTGCGTATGCCCATCTTCATTATTCCAGTTTCATAGCTGAAGGTGAATTCAGCTGATATCTGATGGCTGACATCATGGCGTCATACATTGGATTAATATCAAACGATGTAAATGATTAAAGATTGGGTGTTACATGATATCGATCGCTGTTTCTATTTATAATATTTACTTTTTATTTTGGAACACATTACTTCACTGATTGAATGCATGAATAGTATAACTAAATAGAAATTGCATAAAAGATAGATATATCAATTGGAATAGCACTATCCCTCTCGAAAGGCCGGAAATAAGAAATTATTTATTATTCTGTATCGGGTGTCAAGGAAATAAAATGGGATTTAACGTACTACTGTTCTGCTCCGACTGTGCTAATCAAAACGGACATACGCCATAAGGGGAATTGTGCCCAGATAGCGGTTCTTATATAGAATTCTAACTGCCAAGGAGACTTTTGCGTACACTCCAATGTGTTCACGGAACCTCGGTTTTATATCCCGTTCGAATGACTAAACGCTGTCCCTTGCCAGGCACTCTGTCCTGCACCACTGACGAGAGGAACCAAGCAGGTACATCCCGACGAACTTTCACGGCGAACGCATGGATCTAGCACCAGGTTAGTGGGCAAACGTCTTTCTCACTGAGTCACCGTGACTCAACTATCGGATGTCAAGGATATCGTTCTACAATACTCAGAACAAGATTTAAAATTTTAAGCAAACATTTCACAGTTGCTTGAAAGAAATGTATGCAAGAATACCAATAAAACTGATGGAAGAGGTTGTTTTTGTTAATGATGTTATTAGAAAGTACATGATATCGAACTCGGATATTATTATGAATGATTTAGTTCGTCAACATTACATAAATTGGACAATCATTGACCAGTACCTTGAGGTGGCGACCATATAATAAATTAACAACAATTACACTTTGTAAAACAATCTGATCAAAATACAGATCTATATTGCGTTTCATTTTTTTAAACTAACTTTCGATGCCCTACACTACATGAAGATCTGACGACAAGTTGTACTCGGAGGTCGTATCAGGGGTCGTACGAGCGACTTTTGACCCTATGACGTCAGCGTTGACGTTTCTAGTGGTTTGCCCACAGCACCGTGCATGGCACGCCAAGAAGTCGCCGTAACAGACCGTTTCATTGGCTTATCCCTCACTTCAATCAAATCACAGGTAATATAACAACTCTTCCAGATCCTAGTGTAGTAAAGACAAATAAAACGAAATTTTGAACTATAAAAAACGAAGCAAAATAGGATCTGTGTTTTAATTGCCTTGTGAAACAGCTTCCGTAAAATAAAAATTATCTAAATTATCTCGAATGATTCCTATGTGTCTGTGCAATTATACCCCGCACAATAGCATCCCACCCACTTCAGGTTGTTTAGCAAAACAATTTCTTATATCCGGAGATCATTTGCACTGTTTATGTGACGCTGGATTATATTTGTCAGCTAATTTGCTAGCTAAAATAGTCATTAAATAGGCGGCATAGAGTAGCGAAAAACACATACCGGCGCTTTCATTAAAATCTGTCCATTCACAAAAGTAGCAATATAATTATGCTATCCATTCTTTTGTCGCGCTAATTAGTCTAGAAGGACAATATTGGCGTCAGCCATTATTACATATGTGGGAGAACTGGTTAAACATGTTAAAAATATAATTTTAACACAAAGACCATTGCTACGATAGATACGAAACGAAGATTTGAAGAAACGGAAGTGACGCAAAAAATGGAACACAAGAGTTATCCTTCTATATAACTGACTGAAGTAACGAGCGATAACAGATACATTCGCCTGTGTATCTGTTATCGCTTGTTACTTCAGTCAGTTATCTAGAAGGATAACGCGTCTTTTCCTTTTGCTTTCATCACTTCTACTTCTTCAAATCGTCGTTACTCATCTATCGTAGCAATGATCTTTGTGTTAGAATTAGCCAGTTCTATCACATATTATGTGATAATGGCTGACACTATATATTGTCCTTTAAGGCCAAATTACAAGCATATTTAAACAGAAACAGTATCACACTGACAAGTTGTCCACTTGTCATTGATTCAGGAAAGGGGACAGGGAGCTGGAAAGGACAATGACTAGTCGTTCAGATGGAACGAAAAACAATATTTGATGCAACAGAATGAATCGGATTGAACAACATGCAAGTGCAATTATTTAAGTTAACTCTATACAGTATTTCTACTTGAAAAGCTGTAAATAGATATGGCAAAACTAAATAATTGTGGTAATTGTAATGAAGAGAAACGAAATCGCGTCTTACTGTTCAGTGCCAACCGACATAATAAAGATGTGATACACCATGCATTATGCTGTAGGGGGAATTTTGCCAAAACAGCGACATTACGACCGACTCTTTTTTTCGAATTCTAATCGTCAAGATCTCTCGTATACACCAGCGTGTACACAGTATCTCAGTTTTACGTCCTATCCGAATAACTAGATGCTGCCCATGGCATACCCTAATTTGGACATTTCCTTAATTTCATCAGTAATTATATTGAAGGATTTAGTCAATTAGAATTGTGGACGTTAATAAGTCATATTCACATCACTTAAAGCCATGGACAGAGGCTGTCATTTCAGGTGTTGTTCTGGATCGGAAATGATATCTGCAGATCATCATTGATTGATTCATCAAGTACAGGAAGATTGAACGATAGCCTAGAGTCTATAACTTGATTTAAATTGTGTCTCTTATTACCAGCTGACAATGTATTATTATAGAAGATGGGATAACAACCGACCAGTTAAATATCTCGCGACACTATATTGTTAAGCTGAGAGGAAATCAATGAGTGATGAAAATAATGGACAGAACTAAACAAGCAATATTACAAAAAAAACAATCAAATTTTGAAAAAAGTATTAAGTCATTTATATAAAAATTCCTTAGAAATATAATTACAGTTTTAAGAATAGTTGAGTATAAAGGAGGATGAGTGGCTGTTCACAAAGAAAATAGATTACCTTTATGATAATGGTCAAAATTATCAGGTTTTTGTATATGAAATGTTCCTTGTGGCCCACGGACAAAGAGTGTTATCATCTTTTAAGTTTTTAACAGATAAATTGTTATCTTATCAATATAAAATATCAAAAAGTCTCGAGGTCATTGTCGGTTGAAAACCGTTTCTGGCTTTTACACGCATTAGCGTACTTAGTGAATTTACATGTACGTTTGAGTCTCCCCATTGACTTCAGTTTACATTAATGACATTTATTGGCCTATAACATCTTTTGAACATTCCAGTGATCTTAACCTTTATAACCACAACGGGGGGGGACGTATCGCAATAATCTGATAACGATATTTTAGGGGGGCCAAGGGAGTTTACGGGTAGTAGGCGATTACCTTATTTCTTGTCTGTTAAACCCTGATCCTTCCGC